GAGAGAATTTCGTCGAATGATCACTACGGCCATCTCTCATCCAGTTGGAGAACTTTTACTTACCTTTGATTAAAAAATTCATGAGCCATAGAGTTTTTGGAAATTGAGTACACAATATTATTGTGAAAGATTCTTGAGGTTGAGTCTTTGTTTACATTCTCAAAGTATCAAAAGTTCTATAGTTTCATCGTGTTGCCTCCTAACTTTGTCAGCTTATGAGCAATGGCTCCTAATTTACTCAACTCCTCAGCAGGCCAAAACTCTATACCTCTACAGATACATATGAGAATCATGCGTTTCAACGAAACCTACGAGTCCTCTTATCATCACTCAGGAACCACCGATCTTTTCTGCAGGTGTCATGGACCATTCATGACAAATACTGTTGCAACCACCCTTATCCTAGGTACATATTTATGCATAGTAATTCTAGTGATCAGCTCCATACTCACAATGTAATTTCTGTAAAATACAGTTGGACGGTGGAATTACCAGACCCCGTATCTCGGTTTGCGACGTTGTAGACTTCCTTTCATACTTTCTTCTTTACACGGAAAACCAACCAACATCAATTTATAAAAACTTCTGCAATTTTTCTTCTCTGTGCAAGAAAACTCTGTGAAAACCAAGGAGGAAAAATGATTTGTTCTCTGTCAAAAGAATAAAATGGGAGCGGAGATTTTTAAGCACCGCTAACGAGATACATGGTCTGCTAGTTTCACTGTTGACTTGTTACGATATACCTATACCTACAATATCCCTATAGATTACATTGAAGATATTACTGTCCCTGTAACAGTGACTGATTCGAATGTTATCACAGTAGAGGGTTTCAGATATTTGGGCCAGCATGGTTTATTAATTACACAGAACGTAAGTTACCTTTATAAATTAAGGCGTAGAGGCAACTTCTGCCTTTGGTTGGCCAGAAATTTCTGTAAACGCATTTAAATTCCTAAAATTTATGAGAAATTCCGAATCTACTAAATGAAAGCAAGGATTTCAGGAGAACATGATTAACAATTTGCTGTCAGAAGGAAAACTGCGGAAGGAAAGTGGGAAAGATTTTTCACTAAGGCTCAACATAATATGAGGAGGAAAAAATGAATGTAATTTCCGTTTACCCTGGTTATAATTCTGGTATTGCAAGAATTCTCTTTCTCTATTTACGTAATTACGTATTAGATTATTGTATTGTATGAAATCCTGTTATCACGAAGACAGAGTATCATAGAGCATAAACAATAAACATAGGAAAGGTTGTGTCTGATCATGAGTCATTAGAAGGTTTTAGCGTAGTGTGCTGCAACCTAGCGGACACATGGTGCCTTCGATTCGCGAAAAGTTACCTTCAGTACTCACAATCAGTTGCAGTTGATTGATTTCGTTTATTGTCTCATCATTTACCTATAAATATTTATATTTCGTTCATTTATTTACCTATAATATTTTTTACGTGTCCAATTAGGGCATCATTACAACAATTAATTTGGCCTCGTTAAGTGATACGTTCATCTTTGATACATTTTCTTCAAATGATCTAGAAAAGTTATTTTTTTGGAGCCGTAATAGTTTTCTCTGTTTTTATGAGAAATCGAGGATTTTTTATGTATTAATATTTCGGTATTTAAGTAATGGATCATTATTTTTCTTATGGATCTTGGATTTTTTTTCGGGGGGGGGGGGAGGAAGCACAATTTTAGATGTTTTAATTATTGCAAATTTTAACATACTCAGTTAATAGGTAGTAAATAAAATCTGGGACTCATTAAAATTGCGCTCACCGCTGAGCGCTTCTCTAATACCCACGTATTAGAACTTTCCCGCTTGTTTGATATTCAAACATACTTCTTAAAGGATGGAGGAATACCTACATCCTCAGCTCACCAAACGAATATAGTAAAATTTTCATATATATATATGAGTCGCTCTTTGGCGCTGTGCGACGCCTAATCGCCACAAAGCTCGGTCTTCCCATAGGTCATCAGGGAGTTGACAATCTCTTATCTCATTTAACACCCCCTGTCGCCAACCTCTCACTGGGCGTCCCCTACGTCCCCTACGTCCCCTACGTAAGTAAAATTTTCATAAATAAAAGTAATACATTTTGAGTTGCCTCTAAATTCATGCGTCATCGTTACAGGTTTAGGAAACCGTGATATAGTTGGAATGCTTCCAGAGACGATTGATGTAGCTTGTCAAAACTCCTCGACAAGCTGTACAATTTCTGGCCCAACTGAGGACGTGGAGAAATTCGTCGCTGAGTTGGAGGCCAAGGGCATATTCGCCAAAAGTGTGAATGTTGCAAATATCGCCTACCACTCGAGGTATATTCAACCGGCCGGTCCAATTTTACTCAAATATCTAAAAGAGGTATGAAATAACAAACGACATTCGTGCAAAATAAATAACTTTACTCAGTGCTTAACTAGAGATTGAAGTAAGTAGTCTCACTACTAAGGTCGTTATTTCAATAATAATATGAGAAATTATTGGATTTTAAAAGTAAGTTGAAAGTTTTACAATCTTATACCGTTCAGATCTCATGTATAATTTTGTGGTTGGACTGTAATTATTTTTGTGAAATCCTACTGGAAAGCAAATTTGGTTCAAAGGAACAAAATCCTATTTTTTAAAAATTAAAAAAAGTAACAATTTCTTCATTTTCAGGTCGTTTTCCTCGCAAATGTTTTTCATGTTTAATTTATACAGTTTAACTATACAGTAAGTGGTTATTAATCATGTTATATCTACACGGGTTTTAATGCTGCTTAAATTTTTTACATGTAACTATACCTGTACTTTAAAAGAGCATTTTGCGAAACGTACCTAAAATATACATAATTTTCATTAAAATTTATAGAACAGCCATTATGATTTTCACCTCGCGTGGTATTAACACATTTAATAAAGCTCCATATTGACCTAAATATGGTTGATAAGCTTTTTAATCTGGATGTTATTAATGGAACTAATTTTATAAAAACTTGCTGCATTATATTAGCCACTCTATCAATTTCAACGTATTTTAACAATGTTACAACACCGCAACTTTCACAATGTTATCGTTCATATGTTTCAGGTCATTCCAATCAATACAAAGCGTTCAAGTAAGTGGGTAAGCAGCTCGGTCCCAAAAACTAACTGGTTCACGAATGCCGCCAAATTCAACTCACCAGAATATCACACGAATAACCTTTTGAGCCCCGTTCTGTTCGAAGAGGCCATCACGGTCATTCCGCAAAATGCAACGCTCATTGAAATCGCTCCTCATGGTCTGCTGCAAGCCATTCTCAAGAGGGCTCTTCCAGACACCGTCGCAAATGTTCCCTTAACGAGACGAACCAAAGGTCCCGACCCTAGTAATGTGAAGTTCCTGCTTGATGCTATTGGCAAGTGAGTATAGCTGACACGAATGTGCATGCATGTCAGGGGCTTCCCTTGACGGAGCTTCTTTCACCGATGTAAAATCGAATGAAAAGTAGCCAAAGAAGTATTATGACTGAGTTTAATCACTCGAAAAAAAGGAATCGAAGCATTCGTATCTGCAATACTTAATTACGTGTAATTTCAGATCCAACCTAATTTTGTAACTTAAACTAAAAATTCACGTTGAGCCTAAAGCCAGTCATGCGTATTGTAAGAGTTACTGCTTTTTTATCTCTATAAGGCTTTGTCTGAACTACCTTGATTTTTTTTTACCTCGAAGCAATGTTTTGCTAAATTCATGTAATTCGGTCCGACATTTTCTATTAAAAATAGCTGCGTTGGTATAAGTACACGGTTTGTTTTTGGTACTGAGAGTTATATTAATTTGGTAAAATTTTAACTTAGAAATAAGTTTCATTGATTAATAGGCCTTGGGGTGTGCAGTTAGATGATTTTTATGTAACATAAACATTTTCTCTTGCTTTAAAATTCAGAAAACAAAAAGCAACAGATTTGTGCATTTTTTACGACCTCTCGAGCTCGGTAGCAGGAAATTCAGGAGGCTGCGCTGCACTAAAGATTGGCCCAACAAGGCCGAAACGCGTCTTCAATTGCCTTCCTGAATGGACGTACCTAGGGTTGCACCAAACAGCACATCTCTTGTAGGGAAAACTGTGCTCAAATGAGCTTTTCCCTCTGTATTGAGATTTTCAGTTTTATGCTGAATTTTTAACGCACGTTGGCAAAAAATTCCAACATACTGTCTAACGACCCGTGCGTCCACCGCAATCAGTTTGTGTATTAAGTCACTTGCGCACCTCTATAAAGGCCGTTGACAAGTTATGATGGTGTAAAATGATGAAACCACAAATAATTATAAATACTTATCAACATTCACCCTCTTACGTTACATATTTTGTTCGCCTGAAGGTTGTATCTCTTGGGTTACTCGCCGAATGTGTCTGCCCTGTATCCACCAACCCAGTTTCCAGTGCCGTGTGACACCCCAAGCTTGCAGCCATTTGTCACTTGGGAACACTCCGAGACTTACAAACTTCCTGATTACATGGTAAGTGAATCATATGACAGGAATTTGTAAAAATTGTCAATACTTAAAATGAGATGTCAACACCAATGAATCGTTTCCACTCAACAGACCCCAACGGTGTCATTAAAAAGGAAACGCATTATTTGGAACTTCGTGTAACGTACATGGAGAGGCCTCCTTTTGTCCCCCAGTAAGCTAACCTTAGTATTTCGCATCGTTCGTAATTAGAGTAAAAAAAAGTGTGTTTACGTTGCAACTTTATAAAACCTTCGACTTTGTTTCATTCCTCGAAAGAGAGGTAATAAACGCCACCCTTAAATTTTTTTGTGAATAATTGTACATGAGTTGAGAACATTTTCAACCTGCAACCGTTGCAGCCTTTTGCAAAATGTAGTCATTTTGCGCATTACTCAGTCTAGGTGCATATCGTAATTTAATGTAATGATTATTTTTTGTTTTGTTGGATAAAATGTAAATGCAGCAAATCTGTGGTAAAGAGGAGACAATAGTATGCGAGAAGACATTTTCTATACCGGAAATCAAAGAATTACTCAGGAAGCACGAAGAGGAGGACACCCCGATTCATCCAATATCTTTCCTCTTGGTAAGTTAAGATATTTAATTACTGAGTCTAAATACTTGTTTTAGCTCCATTTTATACTTAAACTATATCAGTATAGTATCAATCAGATGAAGTTGTTTGTGTAAAAATATGTTTTTAGCATGATTCAGAAAATGAATATCCAAGCAAGAAAGGGGTAAAACGTTTAAAGTCAGCAGAAAATGGGTATATCACTGTCTTATTATTACACAAGTTTCATGATGTTGTCAAAGTTAAAATCATCGCAAGTACTAGCAAATCTACCAACAGACATTTAGAATGCTCATCCTTCATCTAATTTATTTTCTCTTCTATGAAAATGAGTATTTGAGGTCCAGCCGCAAACCAATGTGGGCAATGGGCATATCTAAACAAAGCGCTCTTTTTGTGTGGAAATTTGCGCTTGTGTTCTCTCTTAATAACTATAAATCTTGATTTATCCTGAATCAATGACAAAAAAATTAATTTCAGGTTGAAGTTTGGAAATCCTTTGGGGCTATTCATAAGAAAATCTACACGGAAACGCCTGTTGTATTTGAGAATATTCACATCTGGTCTGGGCTTGACCTGTCAAAGGAAGGTGAGGTCTTACAGCCCTGATACTACTCATCATCAAAATCACAGTCGCGATATATTCGTTATTTTTTAGGACTCCTTGGCATTTTTCAGTTTGACTGAAATCTCATTTTTGCTGTAAAACCTTGTCTATAATGATATTTTTTTTTTCACAATTCACCTATGAACATTGATGAGTTATCGCCGAAAGTTTTGGCAAAAGCACGTCAATAAATATTCATTTAATATTCTATCAGTTTATACGATTAAACATATTACAGCAATATACAGTATCAATGACTTTAGATTAGATTTATCTCTCGGGCATAGAGTACATAGAGTCGTGTTGTAAATGGGAGAGCTGGCGCCATTTACTGCTCCGCGAATTCCGAGCCCGGTGCGCGCCGAGTTTCGGTCACTTTTCGATACATGTTTGATCCAAAATGGCGGTGTAGAATACGTGGTAATTCCTATCTTCTTCGTTTAAATCGGATGGCCGGGTACCCATGTATCGAAAAAAATCAATCATGTATCAAAAAAGTGACCCGGCGTCACACAGGAATCTCGAAATTCGGGGCCTGAAAAATTCTTAAACGTGGCGCCAGCTCTCCCACTTACCTTACGACTCTACATGTATGGAGTTTATGCTCTTGGGAGACAAAACTCAAAACACCGATATTCTACGGAGTTTAATCGGTGAATTTATTAATATATATTTATTTTTGCGAATTTTTGAGAACGGATATTTTATGCCAAAACTTTGATTTTTTTTTTTTTTTTTTTTTTGTCTCTAGATCTTTGCAGCGTCTCTATTTCGGTCCTTCCGGTTGACGGCGATTTTGAGATAGCCCAAGAGTGGATAGGGCAGGGGAAAAATGAGGATGAAGAGATAAGAAACATGCTCATAAGTGGTAGGATAAAGTTGTGGGAAGACGCAGTAGACAATCTAAACAATTCAGAGAGTTTTGAAAAGTCAAACGATGATGAGATATGCCAAAGTTGGCAAGCTGATGATATCGAGAGGTACTACAATAACAGTGGGAAAGCAAAATTGCACCTCAAGTCGACAAATATCCATGAACTGGAACTTTGTAGCAAAGGTGAGCTCTAGAAAACAGTGACGAAATTTTTGAATTTTTAAGTTAAAATATAATATTTCGAAGTTACCGTTAACCTTTCTGTCATGAATTAATTTTGGATCTCAGATCCTAGAGGACACTACTCTGCTTTGTAACTTGCAACAAAAAACATAAGGTGCCAATTCTTTTTCAAAATTTAAAATTTTTGGGAATCAGTTATTCAAAAAAAGAACAAATTAATGAAAATTTGCAAAATTAAGCCATAGTGGGAAGATTCAAATTTTAAAAACCCAAAAATACGTTGTTACGAATTCGTAACGCTTTGCCATAGCGGGTTAAGGAAAAGATAGTTCCTTTTAATTTACGGATTCTTAGTTCTTATAGTAGTATTTCCAAATGTTACATTTTTATAAAGTCTTTCGAAACAATGGTTGATCTCTTTTAAATAAATTATGAATGTCATATTCACGGGAAAATTTCATAGAACTTTTGATAAAGGGGTAAACAAACCTAGGAGTAACTGTATAAAATATGATGATATTCACTAATTCACTGATATGTTTTACATTTAAAATCAAACAGGGCTCAAAGGAAAAATCTTATGGAGTGGAGACTGGGTACTGAACTTTGATACTATTATTAAAGCGAATCTTCTTCAAGGAATAAAGGACGCAGCTCAACTGGATGAACCGTCTTCCATACAGTTCATTTTCATTTCTCCTGACCAAACAAAACTTATCGAGGAAGGTAATCCCTTCAACTTTTAATTTTTTAATCATGCAATATCACACGCAAACGGACCTCTCATGCAATTTGGTCACCCCCATCGAAGTCTAATCTGCAATTAATTTTAGGAGAGCGAAACATACTCATTTTAAAATGATATTGTTATGGTTACAATTAATTGCCAACGTCAATATACTCCTACAATAAAGTGCAATCATGAGTAAAATGTATGAGCTCAATATATTGTAGCAATGTCTCGTATTATGCATATTTATTTATTTTTCGTTCGTGAAGGTGGAGAAGTCGCTTCAACCTCACATAATGTTTCAGAGAGGGGATAAGGGTATATCTTCAAACCAAAATTAATAACTTTGCAGTGTATTTAAGGTTTGAAAGATGAGAATAAGTATCGAATGACAGAACGCTCTTTTTGAAGTCATACTCTTAAATAAGTGAATCCGCGCTGTTTTGTGTTCATTCGTGACTGCCCACGAGAAAAAGGGACACGCTGAATTGGATTACATTTTGCAATAAGGAGCTACTATTTCTGGCACGACTATAAAAAGACCTTTTCATGTGACACAACTTAGGACGCATACGTTGTATCAATAATGAACTGAACGTAGTGGCTCCTTCTTACAACATGTGGTCTAATCGAGCAATTGATGCAATGAAGAAGAATGGAGCGCTCTAAAAATTTTCGCAATAAAAAACGCCCTATAAGAGGTTCCGCTAAACCGGGATTATCTGGTTTCATTTTTGCAGTTTGAAGAGCGCAGATTTGAGAAAAAACTATCAACCATTATAATCTGCCACTTTCTGGACACGTAATAGTTGGATTATATCACACAGTAACGATTTTTATTGACTCAAAAATCCACCGAATCAATTAAGTCCTCGATATGACAAGTTTACAATCAAAACTATCCAATCAAATTTTTCGAACCGACTCGAAAAAAATGTCTGCCTTGCCACTGCAGACTAAGAGTGTTTCACTCGAGGATAGACTATTAATTTGAAGTTATCGTTCATATTTCCAATTCCGTAGGATCCCAGATTGAATTTTGTTTGGATTCGTCGCTGCACACTTTTAATTGTGCGGGTATCACGGTGAGAAATTTCAAATCGCAGCCCACGATTGAACTGGCAGGGAAAGAGATTGTTGACACAGAGCGCTTACAGTTCATTCCCTACTCTGAGACGTCCTTTTCCGTAAGTCAATATGGCTATCGAAAATTAAATCTTCATTATCAATTAAAGAACTTCAATACAGCGCTTACAGTTCATTCCCTACTTAGAGACGTCCTTTTCCGTAAGTCAATATGGCTATAGAAAATTAATTCTTCATTATGACGTTGAGAATGGGCCTGTTGCAAACTTTTGCTGGAGCAGAATTAAGAGTTGTTTCCTATAGATAATGCCTCAAAAATCACGATGGGCGCATCGGCAAAGTCTAAAATGCACTCATATATTCACAATCTGCGTAAGAAATTTGCGTTTTTTTGAGCTTCCCGCTTCAAAAACGATACTACTGCACAGGTGAACATTCTATTAGAGGAGTCGCTTCATCGTCGGCAATATTCATCATGGCCGACGCTTGCGCAGTTCCTCGCGTAATTCGAGGAGAGTTCAAGGTCAATCAAGGCGGGCGAGGAAAATATGAACGTAAACACGCCGATTGTTATCTGATTTAATCCTGTTCAGGTGTCATCTCGTCCCATCAAACGTGTTTTGGCGGATTGGCGTCGGCCATGATGAGTATTGCCGCCAATGGAACGACTCCTCTAACAAAATGTTCACCTGTGCCGTAGTATCGTTTTTGAAGCGGGAAGCTCAAAAAACCTCAAATTTCTTACGCAGATTGTGAAGTTATGAGCGCATTTCAGACTTTGCCGATGCGCTCATCGTGATTTTTGAGGTATTATCTATGAGAAACATTTCTTAGTTTTGCTCTAGCAAAAGTTTGCAACAGGCCCATTAAACTTTTAAAGAGAGAAATAGTTGAATATACGATCCAGCTCAGTTTTGCCGTATGATGGAAAAACGTCGTATGAACACTCAAGCGTTGCCAAATTTTCCCGGATAAAATATCAATCTTTGTGGAAAGTTACGCATATTTTTCCATGAAATTTTCAGACATTTCAGATTAAATTGCGAATAAAATTTCTGAAAAATCTTAAGTAAAATATTCATAATTATCCCAGTAAATTCGTGTTTTGTTGCAGGAGATATGGCAACGTCCGTAGGCTCATACGGCGTTCTTCCATAGCATGATGGCAGAGTTGGCCGTGATAACCATGCTGAAAAACATTTCCTTGTTCAGTACTCTTAATGAGCCGGAAAACACAAGGGAAAGCTCGGAGACTTAAACGCAGCGTAAAAAAGTAAACCGATTCACGACTTACGTGATTTGTCCAAAGGTGTGGCGTGAGAGATCGACTATCGATATTTCCCCATTTGAAACTATAATAAAACATCAATTATTATCGATTATCGTCAGTATCGGTCATTCACGCAAGGAACCGGTTTACTTTTCTAACGTTGCGTTAAAGTCTCCAACCTTTCCTGTTTATCGATTCTTGTCCATAGGTTTAAATGGCAGATCAATCGATATCGCACGCCACTGGATTCGTCCAGTTCAGTTGACCACGATAGCCATGGTGCAAAAATTTTATTCATTTGCTTCTCATGGAAGCGGATGATCAGAAATTAACATTTCAGAGGGTTAACCCCTCTGTGGCAAAGCGTCACGAATTCGTAATGATATTTTCGGGATTTTTAAAATGGAATCTTTCCACTGTGCCATAATTTTGCAAAATTTTGTTTTTTTGTTGTTTTTTTTAACATTGATTCCCTTAGTTTTAAAATTTTGGAAAAATTTGTTACTCACTTTTTATGCAAGCTATAAAATAGATTGGTGTCCCCTGTAATCTGAGATCCAAAATTAATTCATGCTAAGGCGGGTTTAGAGAGAGAAGAGAGTCATTGAATTCAACTTGCAAATAAGTGCGGAAAAAGAAGAACGTTACCTCAGTTAAGTGTTTTGGCTGACGAAGAAGAAGTAGTGGTGGTGGCAACGCCTAGATGCAAATATTCTAACTCAATGACTGCGCATGTTGCATATCTAAAAAATGAAGGCGTTTTGAATTTTTCGTGCTCACCGCGCGCGTTGTGCTATATTTCAAGCTGCTGCCAATCATTACTCCGTTAGTAAAATGGGATGAAGTTGTACATTTTCAAATTTAGCGAAATATTGTTTTTCCATAGCTACAAATTTTGACTTATTAAGTTAAGCGTTATATATAATATTATTATTTATTTTCTTTTTAAGGAAGAAAAAAGGACATTATTGTCTAAGCATATGCAATTATTAGGTTTGTTTAGATAAAATAATTTCTTGAACATTTTTTAAATTTTAACACCCTTTTTTCCTCAGCACCAACCAGAATTTTTGCTCACATGTCTCCAAATCATTTTTGAAAATGCGGTATCTTGCCCTTCTTCAAACTCGAACGAATTTCTGCGATTGAATGTAGTTCAGATGAAACCCGGTCGGACGATGGACCCATTGATCAGCGCTTTAGAGGAGGTCTTACAACTTCCCAATAACAATATTAGAGTGAGGAAATTTTATCATTTTTAGCTTATACAAGATTGTAAAAATAATACAAATTAATTCATCCCTGATTAAATAAAAATTAGATTATCCTCAAATACATATCATATTGTGATGCTTTATTCGTGAAGCGATAGAAAAGAGGGGGGAGGCTATGAAAATATTGAAAAGATCGACACTTCTTACGATATTCTGGTATGTGAACGTGATGTATATTAAATTAAACAGATAAGGATATTAATAATATCTGCGCCTGCTTTTGTCTGACTATACAACGTTTCCTTTGTAACGGATTATCTTCATCAATAATACGAAAATGCATCTGAGTAAATGTGTGACAATACATTTTAAACACTGATATTTCCTATTTTCCATGTCCAATTGTTAACTTATTGTTTTTTTTTTTTTTTTTTTTTTTTTCAGATTAAGTTGTTGATTACTGATCCAGCAAATTGCGATCAACTGGATACTGACGTCTGCTTGTCGGTATTGACCGATTCTAATTCGATAATGCATATTACCACTATGAATGCTATCGAAGACGTGTATTTGCTAACAGCACTTCACAAAGATACTACTCTTAACAGCATCATGGACGTCGCAACAGTGTATAAACAGGAATATGTGGTGCTATTTGAGCAAGTTTTTGGTTCCCAAAGATTCGGCCTCATAAAAAAGGTAGGCTCATAGCTCAATTCTGATATTTTGTAAGAAAAACTAAAATTATAATTGAAATCCATTGACATTGAGATAATTAAAATCAACATCGAAAACGTGACTATCCCCACATCTGCATTTATCAACACCTGAAGTCTACTTAGGTGGTTTTTTCTATTTATTTTTTCAAAGGTTCAATTAAAGAATCTCTAATAATGTTGCGTGATAATTGTTTACAGGTAAATTCAAGACAAAAAGTGAGAGTCCTTTCAATATCTGAGGAATGGCGTGCAAGCATAAATGCTTTAAAACCATCCGAAAATACTAAAGATGAAATTACTTTGTTAATATTCAATCATCCTATTTCAGCAAACCCTCTCTTTTTGCAACAAGAGGTTTTGAGTGCAATGGGTACTCGCAACGCTAGGTAAGTTGACTTGATCAAATCATGTACTTTTTTAGACGTCAACCTTACCAAAAAAATAACTAATCCTTTAAAGAAAAACACATATAGAAAAAATTGAATTTATATTTATTTGTAAAGAAAATTTGTTTAACGTTTGTTACATCGAATAAATCTGTCAAAAATATCATTTTGACTACATTTTGCAATTCGGAACTATAAATTCTAGCCTGGTTTAAAAACAACGTATGAGCCATTAGTTTCCGTATGCACATAAGTGTTTTTTCAGATGAGCCAGAATTTATAGCTCCAAATTGCAAAATGCAGTCGAATTTTATCCAAAGTGCTATGCGGAAAAACCAGCGGAACGTAAAAAATGTCCTCATCAACTAATATCAGTTTTTCCCCAAAAATAAAAAAAAGTCGTAGACTACCTCTAAAAAATATGAAATTCGCAATCAAATTTCGTATCAACCAAAATATGTGATGGTTTGTGGCAATTAAATAATAAAGAATGTCAAACATACTGCTATTCCAGGTGTTTCCTCTTGATGGATGAAAATGCACCTGCTTTCTCTGTGGATCTTCCCCTATACAATGAGGAAATAAAACGTGGGATGAAGGTCAATATTTTGTTGAATGGCCAATGGGGAAGTTTTCGGAGTCACCCCATACCCAGCACTTTAGGAACAGATTTCTCGCGTCTGTTACCTCTAGTCGATGATGCATCGAAGGAGGTGGATATCCATTATGTAGGGCTAATTTCGGTAGGGCAAAAGAGAGGCAATGAGGTAAGTTATTTGTTCTAAATAAGTTTTTCTTGGCATATGTAAATTATTTAAGTTGGGTCTCCAGATTCATTATTTCATTTTGAGAATTCTGCACAATTATGGCAAACACGGATTTTGTATAAAAATTGACCTTTAATATGTGTTCGCAAATTGCACTATTTGGCAACTCTGTAGCAATGCTGCACGGCTCACCCTAATTTAGATTTGTTGTAATCAACAAGAATGTGCATAAAACACAGATATCTCTCAAGTGAAGAAGCTCGCAGCGAGGCCTTGTCATTAAGAAAACCAGAACGCCTGCAATTTTGTGCGTATGCAACACGGCCATCCCTCGAACACGAATAGTTGCATCCAGGTGTTGCTTTTAAGAAGGTCAGGGCGCCTTCAACTTTTTCCACGTTTCGTGACGGAATGAGGTGAATCATGGCATTCTTCATAACCGCATGTAAATGTCGTGGCATTTCTTTCGACTAGCAAGACATTACAAAATTTGCTTCTTTTGTCGCCACTTTAAAGCTAGGATACTAAAAAAACCAACTCAATACTCTTATTTTAATGAATGGTCTTTGCGTATCATTCCAACTTAACATCCCTTGTTCGAATTTATTTAGATCAGATTTTTTTGGCGAATTCACTTTTTACGCTAGTTACATTTTTCGAATATACATGCACATTGCGGAAAAATACATTGAATTGAGAGTTCATTCGTTTATTCTTTCAGTACCATGATGCAATTTTAAGCATGAAAAATTCAGATTTTGAGAAAATTTGAAATAAAACTGATCCTCTCTTGAAAACATCCCTGTCTCCCAAGAAAAACACAAACACGCGAAACGTGTTTGGTTAAATTAAAAAATAATTTCTCTGTGCTTTGAGTATTATTCCTTCATTGTAAAATTGTAATTCTTTTTTGGAAACTGTTTCATTTGCAAATAGACTGAACACTATGTAATGGATTACTCTGGAGTTAAAAGATGCAACGGAGATCAAGTGATAGGGATTGCGCACAGCAGCAACCAGACTGAACAAGAAATTATCTTGGATCCAATATTTCATTGGAAGATACCTCAATACCTTCCCCTTGAAGACGCTGTTAGCCTACCACATGCATACTTAATGGTACGTGCATATATTTGATGCTACTGTGCTACATTCACAAAAATATTTTATCTAAAAATAGGACCTGGTAATGGTTATAGGATATTTTGTCAACGATTTTTTGTCCGCGCACCTGTTTTTTCCAGTAATTTACGTTCACGCGTTTTTTCGGCACGGGAGTTTTGGTCCACGGGCCAGTTGAGACCCAAAGTTAATTGACCCACATGTAAATACAAACGACAATTGCTCACGACGTTTTTGGATGAAAATGTATAATGTCTTGTAAGAATGAGGGTTTGCTTGTTTTTTTGTTTTTTTGTTTTTTTTTTTTTGGTTGTTTGATCCAACGGAGAATAATATATAATTGAGATTTTCGGTAAAAATGAGGGAGCGTCAATTCCATTAGACAAAATTCACTAAAACTCTCTACACCTCTTTGGTGTAACAGGACTTAATTATCTTTCCAGGATTTCCCACCTTGTTATACCTGAACCGGATAAACTTCTATAATTGCCTCAGCTAAAGGCTCTTAGATTTTTCCTTTGTACGATAAGTATCTTGATTTATTTTGCGAGGAAAGATCAGTACTTTTAAAGAATGCATGTCATTCTTAATACGTTCAATTTCGTATAATAATGTGCAACACCTCTGTTGTGAAATAGTTCCTTCAGGCGCTGCCGCACGGCGGGCGGGCGGTCAGCGCGGAACGCGCATTGGCGCCTACAAACCTAAGTGGATACTTCAAGCATTGTGCAATGCGTGAAGTATCCACTTAGGTTTTTAGGCGCCAGTGAGCCTCTTGCGCTAGCAGCACGCCGCTCAACTCTGTTAAGCTCTAATATTTATACTCGCATAGTCAGCGCTTTTTAACGGATGATTTTGAAATGTTTGCACACTCTGCATTGATTATTCTCATTTAAATTGATGAAAAAAAAATATGTATCAATTTATCAAAGGAGAATAATAATATAATGTGTGTAATGGAGAAAAACAATGTTGCCAATTTGCTGGATCCACTAATGTATCCGATAAGTCCATAATGCGTCCTCTGAAACGCCATGAACAAAGGTCATTCAGCTCATAAACGGTCACATGTAAGTGAAGATTAAACATAAAGAACTATTTCGGTGGCCCTAGATGTCGGTCATGAAGTTTATACTACCGTTCCATCAACCCAGGATCGTGAAACCATCACTCGCACTTTCCATCAGGTACCCATCAATAGTAATATTCTTGCGGTATATGAATTCTGAATATTATTTTCATTCATAGGCTCATCTCATAATCTCGGACTTCAACAAACATCAACACAAGAAGACAGTTTTCATACACAATGGGCAATCCTCGATCGGAATGGCTTGCATTTCGGTGGCCCTAGATGTCGGTCATGAAGTTTATACTACCGTTCCATCAACCCAGGATCGTGAAACCATCACTCGCACTTTCCATCAGGTACCCATCAATAGTAACCAATGAGAATTCCGTTTAACACAAACCTTTGATTATGTGAGTAGATTAAAGCTAGATTTTAATAACAAAACGGCTGATACCACTTCGGAATCAGAAACCATAATAATTGGACGTATTTATGCTAAAAAGAACTATGTGCAGGTGGAAAGATGGGATGTGCTCGTGCAAGCTGGATAAGAAACAATGTAAAAGTGGATACAGTACCTTTAAAGAAAATGGAAAAGCGGGATTTAACATTAAAGCAAAAGAAACTGAGCGCTAGCTCGTGAGCCGTGGGCATGTGACAAGAGCGTTGTGGACATGGCTCATGAGTTAAAGAGTTCCGCCACCGATCTCCCCATCGTGTCCGGTCTCGGTCGTTGCCGCTGACGTCACTGGCGCTTTTAAATGCCCATTCATTCTTACGGCCCTCAACTAACGAGCACATCTTTCCACTTGCACATAGTTCCATTTAGCATAAATATGTCCAATATTGGTTCTGCTTCTTCAGGCGCACAGAAACTATATCAATATATCAATGATTTAAGGGGGAAATGCGTGTCTCCATTACAACGTTTAAAAAATTCGATTTTTTTTTTTTTTTTTTTAAAGGAGGATATTAACCAAAATATTTTGTTGAAATATGTTTTGTTAAAATTATTCAATGAATGAAGATAAGTAACCGGAAATTTAAAAAAGAAGCCCATGATGGGTTAATTTTCTTTGAAAAAAATAAGGATGTATGAGCGGAGATTGGTAATGGTGCTATGTAGGTACGCATTTTTTCACTTCACCATCGACATAACTAACTATGGGTTTATGATATAATGATGAGGTCAGAAAATACGAAAGTAAGGGCATGAACATGGCAAAATATTCAGCACCGTTATATATAAATGGGTATCAGTCGCCCTCAAAGGTGATTTTTGAAAGTTGGCAACACATGTTTTCCTCAAATTAAATGTGTGTTAAACAATCGATTCTGCGGGTGAGTCAGCCTGTCTCACCTGGCATCGATAATTCAATTGAATTAAATAGAGTATCAGCAAGGTTGCCAACATAATGAAATCGCCATTGGCCACCCTTACGAGAGCCGCTAAGTCCCATTCCCACCCTCTCCACTATTAGTCTGACAACTTCGCGAGAAGGTCCAAAAAGACTAACACGCCTCTTTCAAATAGATACCAACACACCATATCACAAACCACAACGACCCGGATTTCTACGTCACACTGATGCTGGAAACGAAAGGGAAAGGCGCTGACGTCATCGTGAGCGACCTGTCATGGGAGAAAATGGTGACTTCATGGATGTGTATCGCTCAGTATGGTAACTTCATCAACTTGAACGACGAAGTGGCGGCAGTTAATTCGCCGCTTCCCATGCGAGAGTTCCTGAAATCCGCCAGTTATCTTAGCTTCTCACTCTCGGATATTTTGCGTATGCCCGAAAACCGTAAAAGGTGTTTGCATAAGTTGGTCGATGAATTCCTGAAGTCGGAACAAGCCATTGTTTTGCCGCGTCAGATTGTAGCTGTTGAGGAGCTTCAATTCCGACCGCAGTAAGTATCCGATGAAGTCATTATGAACTGTAACAAGGGTTGACGCTACCTTAATGTTTCTCAGCTTACTAAAATATAATTTCGATCAGATTCTTAAAAAAATACTCCACATCTTCTTGCATAAAAGTTTGCAAAATTTTGAGGGAGTTATTTAATGACTGCCAGTGGCTTTATTATTTAATGCTGATAATATCTATGCTGCATTGTTACCGGAACTGGACATTTTTTACCGCAGAATTAAAATTTCAATTGCTAGTAGAAGGATACTAAAAGAATAATGCCGAAGGAAATTATTGCAAAATATGCAACATTTTTATGGGAAGTAGAATATTTTACCGTTTGCCTGTGCATTTGAGAAAATACCTGATTTGACTACGTATTTAGACTCTGTACAGAATTATCCTCGAATACGTTCGAATACTGATGGAACCATTGATTTGACACATTTAGGCTATTCAGGAAAGTATACGCCAAAAAAAAGTCGGGTATTATTAGTAAGAGTTCTAAATTACTAAATGGACCTCACTCTGTTGAATGACATAATTTATTCGTTTTATTAAAATTCATTGCACTGAGCGTTTCTCCTGTTTTCCTGTTTTTTCCAGGCTACTCCAAAGTTTAGAGAATAAATCCGCAAAAATTGTGTTGAGCCTGCACAAACAATCGACTGATAACAAAAATAAAGCAACGGAGAGAAGTGACAAGCATAAAATAACTCTATGCGATCCAGAACAGACATACATAGTTTTAAGTATGATTCGTTTCGTCCTGTGTCTTTTTTTTTTTGTTATTTAAGAAGTGGACGGTCAAATAGATAATTTTATACTAAAAATTTTCTTTTATAAAAAAATGGAAAAAAGTCATTCATTTTTTTTTAAACAAAGTATATTACTATAATAATACTTCTAAATTGCATCATGGAATTAATTATTCATACATTAAAACATCTAAGGAACCAAATTTGAAACATACATACGAAAACGACAACGAATTGCGACTAAGACGTTTCAATTTTAGTACTTTAAATACAAAATTTGGATTTTTTTGTAATATCTTTACTCCCATGATATTCATTGAAAACTAGTACCTATACCATAAGTTTATTGTATGCACTCCAGACTCTGGAATTGAATATGGATTATACAAATCTATTCGCATCCTGGGTTAAAATAGTTATCCTAGTAGAACAATTGGACCGCGTTAAACAGAAAGGAACCAAGGCACATCAGCTATTGCTAAATTTAACTGGGCAGTTTAATCTTTTACATGAGAATGGTTGTGCAGATTTTTGCGCAAATTTCAGTGAATTTTCTTTATGTATAGTACGCAGCAAAGTACCTAAAATTTTCAAAGGAATTCGCACAAACGTTCTCTTGTAAATTAAAAATAAAATTTGAATTGCTTTGGCATTTGGCAATAGCTGATGTAGCTTGGTTCCTTTCTGTTAAACTTGGTCCTCTTCTGATTATTCTTGAATGTAATACATTACACTGCAAGTACAATAGCAAATTAATAGGCAGTTTTATCGTAAAAGTAAAATCACCAACATTTTAAATATCTTCAATAGGTTCAAATGTAGAGAATGCTGCACGTCTGATAACTTGGTTGCTTGACCATAGTGCAAACAAGATTTGTCTTGCGACAATGACGCAATTTTGCAGCTCCAATGCTGTAAAGCGGATAAACGAACGCCTCACGAAACAAAATGCCTCAGTCATGATGACGTCAGCCACTCAAGTCCAATCATTGTCAGGCGCTAAAAATTTGATCGAGAGGGCATCAATGATGGGAAATATTGCGGCTGTTTTTACCGTTTCTTTGGTGAGAAAAATATTAAGTCCTTGGGAATTTCTAAATTAAAATAGCTTACTATCGATGTTTTTGGTGTCATACTATATTAACTCCCGTAAAATAAAGTGTGAAGACGGCAGAAGGGAGGAGGAGGGGAAAACTCGTAAACCATAGATGATCTCACTAAATCAGAAGAAAATATTTGATCATGCGGTTTTTCAATGATAAATATTGTCGTTTCCCGCACGAAGGATAGTTACTCCATTCCAAGGTTGCAGAATTGACCCATATAATTTAATGTTTTACGAGAATAGACTAACATCGAAAATTTGTTTGATTTTTGCATGAAATCAGAGGAGTAATTAGTGAAATTTTCAGTCAGAAATTCTCAATAGTCTCCTGATTAAAACGCAATTTTTGCGGAAAAATCTGGTAACATTAAAATGTAGTTAAGTTCTTTCTTGAGAAAAACGACGACATCAAGTTTTTTCTTCAGGCGTTTCATAAAGCCTTGTCAAAATATGACACTGACGCTCTTGGTCATTTTAATTCTCATAGTTAAAGTTTTTTAATGCGCATTTTCGGTTATTGTTGGAAATTATTCTTTTGATTCTATGTTCAAATAGGATATGAATGTCAATGCTATTAGGAATATTCAAGAGGCACGAAACTTACTGCATCAGTCTTGCCCAGTGTTCAATATACAAACAGAAAATATCGAGTCTTGCCCTGACAATACGGTTTCAATCATATGTGACAACAGTTTAGACTACACGCATGTTCTCACTCATGCTTTCACAAACCCCGCTCGATCAGCAGTTTATGTGGTGAAGAAAAAAACAAAAACAAAGAGACGAAAAGGTAACTCAACAACATCATATTTTAAAATATCTTTACTCGATTGGAATCATTTTGTGATTAAATCTGTCGTCTTTCGAATAAGTTTCAACCATGAGGCACCTCATTACCTTACGAATTCATGTTGAATGAGGGTACAATATATTAGACCTTCAGTTAGTGGTTTTTAGAATGAGATAATGTTCTCAAAATACTGGTTTTTTCTTGCCAATTCACGCTTAATGTTCATCAACAAAGATATTAAGGCAGGATGCTGACGCAACATCAGTATTTTGTAGAATGATAGAATTGTTTTTAATGATCGATTATAAACAACGCTGATTTTGGTGTTTTATGACGGAAGCATGGGCGGATCCTGACACATCGAATAAGAGGAGATGGAAGGGGGGAGTCCGGGGAGCTTTCCGCAGAAAATTGTCGCAATTGTTAAGCATTTACTATGCAGTTTGATTCAATTTTGTCATAAGTAATTACCAATTGTAAGTCCCCTTTCTTCCTCTTTCGTCCGTCCCTTATTCTTTCTTCTTTCTTTCTTACTTCCATTTTTTCTTCCTCCTTCTATTCAGGCGACCGTGAGAGGGGGGTGGCGTCCCCTACGTTCCCCCTTGGATCCGTCAATGGGAAAATTTTAATTTATCGATCATGATATGAGCCAGAAAAACACTAATTTCTTATCGCGTTAGAAAACGCGAAACGCTAGATAATTTTAATGAAGGAATATGACATGTGGCCTTACACTCACCCTGTCATACAAACCGCTGATTATTGACTTTAGTCAACTTGCGTTTCACTTAATTTAATACTTTGACCGCAAATGTTTTTTTTTTTTTTTTTTTTTTTTTTTTACAGAGGAAACTGATACCAAAGTGGACCAGATCACGAACTACCTACCAACTTCAATAAAAGAGTTGACAGAGATCGGAAAACGATTATCCACGTTAGACGCGGAATGTCCGGATCAGATGTGCGCTGTTTTTCTACCCTCCACATCCCTGGCGCCACGCCGGAAAGGCTACAAGGAAGTCCGCCCTGTTTTCCTCATCCCCGCATTTTGCGAGAACCAGCTGAGGCCCCTTATCTCTAGGTTAATGTATCCGTGTTTTGTGGCCCATGTACACCATAGAGCGCCATCGATAAACCAAATCGCTTTGAACCTCCTCAAGGTATGTACCATGGTCAAAACCTGCTAAAGAACATTTGGATTTGGACCACGTTAAGCAGAAAGGAACCAAACCACATCAGCAATTGCCAAAAATCGGACAATCTAATTTTTACATGAAAACGGATATGCGGATTTATCTGCAAATTTCAATGAATTTTCTGCATAATACGAAGCAAATTCCTCAAAATTTCCAAAGGAATCCGCACAAATGTCCTCTTGTAAAAAATTAAATTGCCCACTTAAATTTGACAATTGCTGGAGTGGCTTGGTTCCTTTCTGCTAAGCGATAACCATTTTTGATTCAAATTACATTCAATCCATTCAATTATGGCGTAAGACACTTAGGCCGACTGTTGGATCCTCCTTTCCCTTCTAAAGCACTCGTAAGACAACCGCGCTTCCCTCATCTCCTTTTTTGTATCGCACAAAACAGGCTTGATCCCTTTTCCTCATTTTACACGGATACTACAACACAGCCTGAAAAATAGCCGAAAATGTTTTATTTTTATTAATAATTGAGGAGCATTCCGGAAAAGGGACACATACGCGTATGTATGTGCCCTTTTTCCGGAAATGGCAGAAATGGATTCCTCGTATCCTAATGTACCAACGTCCCGAGTTTCAGCTTAATTAATCAATTTTTGGAGCTAAAATACTAAGTTTTGTGAGGCTAAGACAGGGATCACATGCATATTTCATCTATTTGCCTCTGGGTACGGTCGCCGCGACGTTGAGGAGATAGCGCGCAGGCAGGTAGACAGGTGAAGGGTACTGATCAGGATCCCTCAGATGCATCGCACTGATCCTGCTAATCAATGCAATATCATTGGGTTGCTGTGATTGTCAACGCGTTGCACCGGTCACACGTGAATTTTTGTATTTATTGGTAACTCAATTTTTAAGAGTCTCTTTATGTGAGTTCGATTTTTTCGAGTTTTTCGCGTGTTTCCCTGTCTTTTTCATTAACAATGGTCGAAGATGATCCATGCGCGCGTTCGCGATCTAAATTATTATTTATTAATTCATCAAAATCATTTATTTTCGTTTAGAAACTCGTGAAAGACTCGAAAATTCAGCTTTAAAATCCAAAACCTATGACCACCCATCCATTTCCGGAAAAAGGGCACATAACGGAAAATTTAAAAAATTCCTCCCACAATACTGAAAGAAGTGTAAGTTTTACCAATGATCGTTATTCATTCTAGGGTGTATGAACGTTGATATGAGTGCCCCAGTTCCGATGTATGTCATCATCAGTGCTTAGAAAGTAAGAATGAAAACTTCAAATGCGTTTTTCTCACAACGCGTTTTTTCGGTATGTGCCCTTTTTTCGGAAAGCTCCACAATTGATCTTATTTGAAAATAAGAGGCTGACGAAAGACTGGACACGATCCCCCTCCCCCTCCCTTAGAACCGCAAATAGGTCTCTTTTTAAAATTTTCAATTTAGATATAGTTCATTTTGATGGCTTCAGCACAAAACCAAGTACCTTCGTTTGCGACGTTGTGGACCTCCGATCATACTTTATTTTATCTTCGGAAAACTAGTCAACTTAATTTCTTGAAAAAATTCCTGGTCCTGGTGTTTCTTCATTCCGTAAAAATGTCAAGTCGTAAAATTGAATTGTTCCTCTTCGACAAAATAAACCAGGAGCAGAGATTCTGGAACACTCTAATGGAGATACGTGGTTTCGCACTTTAGCCACCGAATATCCTAAACGCTGTGCAATTATAACGTTGACCAGTTTCAGTTTTATTTCTAAAGCCGGGAATTCATCACGACGAGCCTTCTTTCAAGAGGGGACTGAGGCTCTGTAATTTTTTAAAATACGTATTCTTTTTTATTCTTTCTTTTTTTTTTCTTTTTTTTCACCGTAGTCGATGATGGAAATCCAAAAGCGAGGGCCCTTCACAATAGTTGCCGAGACATGGAGTGGAGGTATAGCGATGTTGCTCTCAACACTTCTCTCGAACGCCGGCCATGGAGTTTCTGTCTTTTTGCTTCAAGGAGTCCCCGCTAGATTGCACCCCATGATTCCTGAGGAGGATGCACTCACTGAGTTCCTGATTACCACCATGCTCAACATTAATAAAACAGTAAGATTCAAATTCTGTCTTCTTGAATATGGCTCTGTCAAGTGTAGGAACAACATTTTGCAATTCTGAACCATAATTACTGGCTCATCAATAAAAACACTGATGCACGTAGGGATACTAATGGTGCATACGTTGTCTCTAAACTGCGACAGGAATCGTGGACCATTGCAAAATGTAGTCTATATGGGTCGATGAGTAAAAGATCACTAGTTGCTGTTACATTCAGAAATGTGGTAGTCAATTGAGACCTCATGTTTAGCCGAGGAGTTTTTCATTCTTGCCTCATATATGCCAGACATATTTTTGTGAGTTTCCTGAAAGCATCGTTTCTAGCAATCCGTTTGAAAAACATGCCGATGTTTCGTAAAATTGTTGGGCGTCTTACATAACTCAAAACTCATCAGCCATCAACAAAGTAGTCAGCAGCTAAATTGTGGATAGATAACTGTTGCTAACGTTGCTTTTCGTTTAGGAATGTTGTATCTCCAAAAGTAGGAAAATCAATCGGCGCCAAGAGTTTGTAAAGGTTGTAAATTTGTTTCTGTTCATACTGTGTTCCAGGATAACAAACAAGCCTTCAAACATTTCAGTGAGTCACAAATACTGGAGAGTGCGCTGAATTTGTTGTCTCTGAATGGTAGTAGGTCTTACGCAGCGAGAGCGTTCACAGCCGTTAAGAAAAGTATGGAATTTTTACGTGCTTTCACGAAAATGAGCGTTCAAGTGAAGGATGTTTTGGTACTCTTTGAGCTCGAGGGAACATTCCAGTCCATAACCGGAGAAATTGAGTCGGTGAGTTTTTGAAGGATCTTTGATAGATTCTTCTAGCAACTGTCCGTTCCCTCTTTACAGTATTTACGTTGTTACAAGGGGTCTGTTACACTTAAGATAAAGTCAGATAAATACAGAAAAGAGTAAAATGAACATCTGCGGATCTGCGGGGTTAATCATCAAGTTTGAAACCTTCTCGTGAGATACGCCGAAAAAATAAATTAAAGATCATAAATGAAAATACTAATGTAACACTAAACTTTGAGACGCCTTTTCATTCCGAAAATTGATTTATCATTTCCGAGGAACAAATTCTGCTTCATTGCCCGGTCTACAATGATTTTTCAAAAATTTAAAGACGCCTGCATAAGCTAAAAGGCCACTTGGGCTAAATTTTGCAATGAGGAACCAGAATGTCTGGTTCATTTTAGAAACGATGTATGTGATATTCTGTTCCTATACCTGCCTCTATGGATGAGCCAGAAATTGCTGTTCCTTATTGCAAAATGTACAGTCCACTTATAAATCTTTCTCCATATTTCATAAAAAAATTTAGTAAACCTAGTCAAAGACCTTACTTGTTTGAGGAGGGTACTGACTACCGTCATAAAACAGAAAATGGATATAAACACCAATTTTTTAGAGTAAAAGCTTACTGCGTTAGCGGAGTCTGTCCCAAGTTGGTTTTGTCATTTATCCTTGCTTTTTAATTTAAGTACTCAGACATCGTTGGTCAACGTATAAACACGATGCATTAACCAACCAATCAACTATATATTCAAACTATGTTACTTTTCTCTTTCGATGGAAATAATACTTTTTACGTTGTTTTATCTGTCCGCATAGTTGTCAACGAAGAAACCAGAAGTAATAAAATCGAGAAGTAAAAGTTACAAAGAAATGCTCACCGATCCTTTAGTTGCATCAACTATCTCAGAAGAGGCGCCGTTTTCGTGGGATTTGTATTAGTGTCTTGATTGAGCACCAAGAATCAAAATAACCACCAAAAACTATTTACTTGGCCTGAGCTAAAAGAGCAGAGGTGAAGAACAGAAAGTCCAGATGGCAGCTTATTTTTTTAGAAATCTAAATGTGGCCAAATATGATGCAGTTTTACTTATTTTTTTGGCTCAGAACTCGTACACGATCACTATGATTTGATCATATACGCTGTGATTTTAAACATATGGTTTTATTGAATTTTCAAAATTATTTATTGTTTGTTGAATTTGTATGCCCAGCAAAGTAAATATACAAATCTACAAAACTGGTGTTTCATGCTCGTTATTTGTCTCACCTCCTACTTTTCCTTTACTTATCCTTTAAATGATGAAAACTTTCACAAATATTAAAAACCTTTCTGTAATAATTTAAAAAATTGCTCATCTCCTCAGAAGAAATGAAGGTTGACAATTTTTCCGCGTTACCAAAATTACCATTCGCGATCAGTATTTTTACGAAGAAAATTGTGGACATTTTTAATTGTAACTTTCACTGAATTTTGTCTGTAAATATACAACAAATTAGCGAAGTTTTTAAAGAAAACTGCACAGTCACTTTACAAAAAATTGGATTGTTTTAGTAATTTTTGCAACCTTGGAGTGGAATTATGTTTCTTTACCCGGGAAATCGCAAACTGTGCGTTGAGTGCATTTTTTGGCATTACTCACGTGGTCAACTTAATTTCCGTGCTAATTCATTCAAGTGGATCTTCACCCAGTTTTTTCTGCCTTTGGTAAACTGTCGACTGTATTGACTTATAATTTGAGAAAAAAACCTCTACCATACAAACCGCTAAGCAATGTAGGCGTTTTTCAATTTAAAATTGGACGTATTTCTACCAAACAGACCTATGTGTAAGTGAGAAATATGGAGTATGCTCGTTAGTTCTCTTTGCGTAGGAGTGAATGAGAATAATAAAGCGCCAGTGACGTCAGCGGCAATGATCGAGCTGGGGAGCGACGAGCGCGGTCTTCGTCTGGGCGCTTTAACTCATGAGCCCTGTTCACAACGCTCTCTTGCCATGCCCGCGGCTCATGAGTTCCGCATTCAGTTGCACATAGGTCTGTTTGATAGAATGCAATATCCCGCTTTTCCAATTCTTCAAAAGGAACCACGCCCACTTTTACATTGTTTCTTATACAGATTTCTAGAGCACACCCCATATTTCTCACCTCCACATAGGTCTGTTTGGTAGAAATACGTCCAATTGAACCCTTGGTCACGCAAACCAATATCTTTGAATGTGACTACAACGGAGCTTAACTTTCAGTTCGGAGGACCAAGAGTTTCGTCCAACAAACCATCCAGAGTTCAATTGGACGTATTTCTACCAAACAGAACTATGTGCATTAAGACATGAGCCCTGAAACCCATAGGATTATGTGCATAACAGGGCTCAAGTCATAATGCACATAGTTCCGTTTGATAGAAATACGTCCAATTCAACAAACGGAGGTCTTGGTCCTCCGAACCAAAAACTTCGGTGTAGATACAGATAATATTCCATAAAAACTAATGTTTCCAGTTTGTTTGACTGAATCTTCGATCTTTGCCGAGCTAAGGTTCAGTTCTGTCAATCATAGGAATTGATCTGTGCAACTAAGATTTCAGTTTTCTGTAACCAAATAGCGCCAATTAAACTTACCAATTCGTAAAGCCGAGGCAAATCAGGTTGTTACATTTGAAAAACATTCTCACGGGTGCGAGTAATTAATGTTTTTTATTTAAAGCTCTTTGAACGGGGTTTACGTTATTAATAGTGGAATCCACGAGTAAAAAGACTTCTCAATTGCCTGCATCTTTTGTGTGCATTACATTCATTTGATAAAATGTTACTGTGCAGCTGCTAAAGGAGCTCCTTTTTTTTTTGAACATTTTACTTAACTCGGCAAGAATTCAGATACTGCTTTTTATCTTGATCTTATCATTTGGTGGGATGTCTTTTAAAAAAAAGAACATGGGAAAAAAGCGCTTTCAACGGGAAAAATATTGTGTTTAACCATTGAATCCATACTCAAACACCTTACGATTAAGTTCCGGACACTCCGTACATCGGGTAGCTAACTAGGATCAAGTTACATACAGATCGAATAAAATCTAAAAAAAAAAAAAAAAAAAAAAAAAAAAAAAAAAAAAAAAAAAAAAAAAATCCAAAGTTCAGAACCCGTATTTTGAAGAAAGAGGGCTGCTCATGGACTAAGGCTTAAGGGAAAACATGCGGTTAGGTAACCTAAAAACTAGTCCCAAATCGGTTTGTTTCCAGAATTCGTCTTGTTAGTTTCATCCAGTCTAAATCTGTTGAATCAAATAATGGACATGAATGGAAGGAAATGGGTCTTGCGATTCAAATTTCCAATTCAAGAGTCACTGAGGTCGTATTAGCTATTGTTCAAAAAAATCAATGATCTTGACGGTCATTCAATATACTGTTTTTCCGCCTACACTTCACACCTGTTGTGCGAAAAAATACGCCCCTCAGATCACGTTGTAGGTCATAGACCCATCAGATTTAGCACTTCTTGCTATTGTTATCTTCAGAGAAGCTTAGACCCACTTTCGTTTCATTACTCAACTTTTTTAAAGACTTTAGGATGAAAATGTTCATACCTACACATCCATGTCTTGTCCTATCCGTGATTTTTATGTTTCTTTTCATGGAGAAGAGTTTACATAAATTGAAGTGAAAGTCACGTGAACCTGCCGCGCTTAACACATTGTTTTGCTCACAATATCGCCTGAGAAAAATTTAAAATAACTTTACTTGGAACAAATGATGACCCATTTCGGAACATTTTTGGGTGTGATCTATGGTGTGTCTTTACATTGGTTAAACAAATAGTGCTCTTGATTTTTGGACTGATCATTCACTGTCAAATCATATTTCTTTCGTTACAATCAAAGTTCGCTCAATTTTAAAACCATGGACGACAAAGTTGAGGTCGTCATCTCTGGAGCAGCTGGCATGTTCCCAGAATGTAAAAACATTCCCGAACTTGAAGAGGCGTTATTCAGCAAATTACATCTCATCACGGACGACAAACGCAAATGGAAACACGGTAAGGTCATCACGAAGTGCATTGAGCAACACATTTTTGTTTATTAGAGTATCATGAAAATGAATGTGAAAAACATGGATACGATCAATTGCAATTCCTGCAAGTTGGTAACACTGCTTTCCCTCTATTTAAATACAGTGCAAATTTACCGAAATACTCTGCTGCATAAATTATCTAGAATACTTGGTTTTACAGACATTTGAATGAAGTGAGAACAGTGTTGCCAATAAGTCACAAGACTCGTCATTTGATACGATAGGTCCAGAGACATTACCCGTGCTGACGCATTGAGGGGGGGGGGTGTGATTCATGACCCCCTCCTCGCCCCCTAAAAAAAGGAAACTGTACACGGTGAGAAAACGTAACCAACATTTTATAATAATATGAGAAGTAGAATACAATGTACCTTAAAATACGATTAATTTTCTTTGGTCAGTTTTTCTTTCGGTTATACTGACCAATTTGTTTGATTAAAAACTATACAGGCCTGCTAATATTAGACACAAATCACCAGAATTAAACCTGGATTGCATTGGCGATAATCTAGTGCACTAGTCATTCAAAAATCACATTCAATGAGAGGCTATTTGGACGTATTTCTATCAAACGGATCTATGTGCATTAAGAAATGAGCCGTGTGATCCATAAGAATACACGTATATCAGGGCTCATGTCATAATGCACATAGTTCCGTTTGATAGAAATACGTCCATTTGAGGAGCAAGAGTAAATTAGTTCAGCATGATTTCTTTGTAGGTAATTCCTAGATGTCTCACGGTAATAACCTAAGGTTCTGGTTGATTTTGTTCGGTCACCAACTCGGATTGACTAACCTATCCGAAAGAAAAATAACTCAAAGTAACTAACCGTCAGCACGGTAGTTTATAACTATATAATACTTTTATATATATATATATATATATATATATATATATATATATATATATATATATATATATATATATATATATATGTGTGTGTGTGTGTGTGTGTGTGTGTGTGTGTGTGTGTGTGTGTGTGTGAGGGTGAGGGTGTGTGTGTGTGTGTGAGGGAGGGTGTGTGTGTGTGTGTCGCTTTTATAGCGCTCTTTGGCGCTGTGCGACGCCTAATCGCCACAAAGCTCGGTCTTCCCACAGGTCATCAGGGAGTTGACAATCTCTTATCTCATTTAACACCCCCTGTCGCCAACCTCTCACTGGGCGTCCCCTACGTCCCCTACTATATAATACTTACTGTGTTTAAAATCTGCGCTTTTTGGTTAAAGTAGTCACTATTCTTGGTTCGCGTAACTGTACCCTCAGTTCATGGAACAAAACAAGAAGTTAATTCCTGATTTCGTAATACAAGTCTGTCAAACTTGACAAGCTTACACATCGGTCCATTATAATGCAATAGAGTAAAATTGTTTGCTTGCCTTGCTTGCTTTTATTTAAAAAATTAAAATGTGTCCTATGACTTTTCAGACTATCCGTTCTCCACTCACTGTGGAAAGGCGTTCTCTCACGAATTTTTTGACCCGATGTTTTTCAATTTGCCTTTCACGCTGCCATTGGCTATGGATACCTTGACCAAGCGATGTCTGGAGGCGAGCATTGAAGCCATCATAGATGCCGGTCAGTAGGATACTTTTGTAATCCATGCCATTTTTTAATAATGAGTTATTACGCATCCCATACGAAATCCAGTTTCTATTACTGAATCTTGCAGATGCGCGAAAAATGGACTTACTTAGCCCTTGTGTATCCACAATGATGGCAAAAGTATGAAACCATAATCAGCCATAGTTGAGCAAACTACAGAATCGTGATAATGATGGTTGCATCTGAAAATTTCTAAAACTTAAGGAAAACCGTATGAACTTCAGGTTTATTTTTCCGCTGTATACAGAGGCATATACTTTGAAAATAAGGCAATAGATGTTCTGATTGTCCCGGTAGGTACATATCATGATTGTTCCTACCTCAATTTTATCATTATCCTACATGGAGTGAGCAACCTGTAAACATATACATATCGACGGTGAAACTACCAAACCACGTATCTCGGTTTGCGACGTCGCAGACTTCCTGTCATACTTTATTTTTTAAATGAAAAACTACTTAACGTCCAGTCTTGAAAATTTCTATGATTTTTCCTCTTTGTGCGGAGAAAATTCCGTAAAAATTTCAAGGAATGATATTGATTTGGTCTACTTCAAAAAAATAAAATGTGAGCGTAGATTTTTAAACACCGCAAACGAGATACGTGGTTTGGTAGTTTCACCGTCAATATGTATCTTTCATTGATGCCTCAAGCTGCGGAAGAAACTACGGTGTGTACCATCAAAATTCATGATATGACATCACACAATATATTATGGATTGTATGAATGTAACAATTAGAAAGTGTTCACTGTTTTTCTTTGAATATTTCATTCTTTAAGTGTTTAATTGATCATTTAATTACTTTGTATTTTTTTCTTTTTATAGGTGTAAACCCAAAATTTTTGAAGGGATCACAAACGGCGGTTTACGCAACCTACGACTTAAGTGAAACGGAACTTACTATGGTAAATAAAAAATTCAAAATGAATTTTCAGCCGAGGAAAAAAAATTAAGAGGACTTAATAGCAGCTAAATCACACGAGCAGTCCCAATTTTATGTACTGTTGGACAGAGTGTGCAGACTCCGAGACAATGCTGACTGCCCATTTTTCCTTAGCTCGCAAATGCCATTGCCTGTACATTTTCTTGTGGAAAAGCAGCCTCTATTGACTGATTAAAATGTGCATTTGGTTTAAAATTTTCAATTTAGTACGCACTCCATAAATTTCTGTTATTTTTGTCACCCATCAAATTTTTGCTATAGATATTCAAAAATAAGAAAGAAGCACTGAGAAACGTGGCCTGAACAGTCTATAACAAGGTATTGAAATAGTGCTGGGTCCACGCTATTTTGCGGGAGAAACAAGACCAAGAAAGTTCAAAAAGTGTCTTAAATTTCTCTAAGTTCGAGTTCTTTTACCTTGTTTTCCCCGCGAAATAGTGCGAATCCAGCACTATTTTACCATTTTGAAACTCTGAAATTTAAATAAAAATATAAATAAGACCTTACAAAAAGAGTCTATCTCAGAATACGTCTTATTTCTCTCATTCAAGTAAATAGAGACAACTTAAAAATGGGTACTTTTGGAGAAGGCACGGACTCAAAATCCTGTTACATGATCTTTTAACATTAGAAAATTTCAATCGCGAGTCGCATTATTGTCATGCCACCAGAAATCATTGCCGCTTTTAAACCTTGGTCGTTATCATGTAGACGTATAAGACATATGAACGCCTGTACTGAAATTACTAAATCTCTTTGCTGCATTGTAATAAATACAGGGTGATTCCTGCCATTTGTTTGTCGATAAGGTTTATTATGGATCGTATAGAATTTTTGTGTATACATCTCATTTTTAGGGAACCACTGCGGCCACGCGAGATTTGAACGTCCTCATGGGCAGCGGACGAACTTTTTCTGCCGGTAGGCTTTCGTACGCTCTTGATCTTCATGGTGAGCACCTATCTTCCGTGTATTCTTTGCATATCGCCGATGAGACTCAAACCCACTTACATGCGATGAACCCAATGTAACTACCAAAATTATGAAACTCTTCGCCTCTCTTAATTTAAAAATCTAAATTTTCGTATATACGCCCATTTTCAAAATTCTCTGTAAAGACGTTAATAGCCTGTGACGCTGAATGTCTTAAAATATATTAACTAACTAACAACTAGACCACGTATCTCGGTTTGCAGCGTTTTAGACTTCCTGTCATAATTTATTTTTTCAATCGATAACTACTCAACATCAATTCTTAAAAATATCCGTGATTTTTTCTCCCTATGTGAAGAAAACTCAGTGAAAATGTCTAGAAATGATACTGATTTGTTCTCCTTCAAGGAAAGAAAATGAAGCGGATATTTTTAAAAGCCGAAAATGAGATACATGATTTGGTAGTTTCACCGTCGATATAGTATTTTATTCATTATCTCAACTTTCATAGGTTACCAGCACGAGGAACTTAACCCAAAAAACGATTGATGCATTTTATCCACATATTAAAGTTTCAAAAACAAATTTGATTTCTGGGGTGGTTCCGAGTATCATCAGCGTTTTAATACAGATACATATCGACTATGAAAATCCCAAACTACGTATCTTATTAACGGTGTCTCATAATCTCCGCCTCAATTTTATTTTTTGAAGAAGAACCGAACTTTTTAAAAAAATTTCAGAGAAGACAAATCATAGAAGTTTTAGGAATTGGCGTTCCGTAGTTTTCCTTTTGAAATAGGAAGCCTGCCGCGTCACACTGGTAACAAAAACCTCTTGGACCGATGCCGCATTGCATTGACTTAAGAGTGCAGTTTCTTGTCGCCGGATTTAAGAGTCTTCAATTGAACTCTTGTTTCAAGCGGATTTTGCATTGGAACAAGAGTCCAGACTCTTAAATCCGGCGACAAGAAACTGCACTCTTGAACCAAGAGTTTTTTTTTTACCAGTGCACAGACCGAGATAAGTAGTTTGCGAGTTTTACCGTCGATATAGTCATTCATAGAAAGGGCATATTTAGGATTTTTGGGCGCATATGCGCAATCCGCAAAACGGAAGGCCTCTAGAGTGCACTATCCTGAAGAAGAGGGGAAAACTTTGGTTGTGAGCTTACCCCATAGAGGAGGCTGCGATGGGCCACGGAAAATACTATCGTCTGAATAAAATTAAAGGTTTACCCATATTGACGGGATGGAACAAAAAAACTTTATTGTGGGTTTACGAATTGATAAATCTGCATGGGGAAGTTCCTTGTTAATAGTAGATTTCAGTCATTAGAAATTAATTATTACAAATTATTTTAGAAATACCCTTTCAGATTCTTTTAGAACATACTTCAAATACTTTTCAGAAAGAAAATCAAGCTTCAGAGACCTATGGTTAACTAATTTTGAACTGACTTTGATCAACAAGTACAGACTGTTTCAAAAAAACTACTTTTGACTGACTTGGAAAATGTTCTCTGGCTCAAACATTAATAACTGATTGGAAAACTGACATTGCGAAATTCCTCAAATGATGCAAGTAATGGTTTAGATAGTATTCAAAATGCACTGTGTCACAAATAAGGTTTCTCTTTAGGTTCCAACTACTGAAAACCATTCTTTTTAAAATTTTAGGACCCAGTTACACTCTCCAAGGTGGCAATGGATCACTTTACCATCTAATCGGTCATGCCAAGAAGCAGATGGAACAGGGAAGGATTCCTGCAGCAGTCGTCGTCTGTGCAAACTTCATTATGACAGCCAGAGCTCTGTGCAACTTAGACGAAATGGGTTTTGCAGCCATGGACGGAAAATGCAGATCGTTTGACGAAAAAGGTGCAACAACATATATTACAAGTCCTCCTCTGTATACTAAGTCTCTTTAGGCATAAAACTTGCAAGTGTAAAATCGGGCAGAGAAGTTGGTAGAACTAACAGTCCGAATGATACACTTACAGTGGTACCCACTGTAGAGGTTTTCAGAAATGTCAACAGGAGTTTTTATTCAAGAGTGAGGATACGTCTATAAAAATAAGAATTAGAAATTTGCGGTATCAAAATCTTTTCTTTTACGTCTCAAAGGCGATAACTGATAAAATAATTAGAATCAATTTCTGGCACAGCCAGACTTTACATAATTTGAGCAGCGTTACCACTAACAAGCAAGCCAGCCATATCTCATTAAGTCTTTTTAGAAAGAGTTTATTTGTTCAGTAAGATGATTTGGGTTTTTAATCATGTGAAGGCTGAGTTGAGGCAATTCTGCGGGTATGTGACAAGCCATTATTAAACCTTCTGAGAGTTTATTATAAAGTAGCAGAAAATATTTAAAAATTGATTACTAAATTCGTGAAATTTTTTGACAGTATTTATCACATTCTCCGTGTAATTTCAAAAATTTCCACACATTTCAGCTCAAGGATACGCAATAAGTGATTGCTGCGTTGCGTTATTCTTGCAGAGAGCGTCTGATGCGCGAAGAAATTGGGCTACCGTCATAGGCTCCGAACACGCATTTTTCGGGGACAAACCAGGAAGTTTATTATCCCTTGATATTCAACTTCCCAAAACCATGTTACAGAAACTTTACTCAGAATGGAACATAGACCCCACAGACGTTGGTTACATTGAAGCAGATGGCTCTGGGATTCGGGTCAGTAAGAAATTTCTAACATGCCTCAGAATGTTACAGGTTTATTGTCATTCATTTTGAACAACTATTGTGCAGAAATTTAAACGGTGACCGTAAATTGGACGTATTTCTGTCAACGGAACTAAGCGCCAATTTGAGTTCCTTTTGAGAAATTCAGAATGCCAGATAGCGCGTTCTGTCAAACAGCACTAACCGCCATGGAAAATCATTGCGAGTATAGCGTCCAGCCCACATACAAACTAGAGGCTTCAAAGAGACTCATCGATTGCCCCGACTTAAACCGCTGGCCAATGAGAGGGCCAGGAAAGACATCGATGAGTCTCTTTGAAGCCTCTAGTTTGCATGTGGGCTGGACGCTTATAGGACGGAATGAGCCCGACGCCCGATTCCGCCGCCAATCCAAGCCCCCCTCTATCTTCCTCTCCCTATGGCGCTTATAGTTCCGTTTGACAGAAATACGTTCAATTCATGAACAGAGGGTGAAACAAACACAATCTGAGCTACATTTTAGAAAAAATTGGATTTTTATTTGTTGAGCAGAATTTATCGCGAGATAGGCCCCAAGGAATCTGAAACCTATGTCACAACTCGTTTTGTACTTCCACGTGAAACCAGTTTAAATTTGATTAGGCCATTAAAAATGAATAATTTTACGCATTTTTTTTTAATGAAGATAATGTAAAAGTATTTTGAGCTGTGTGACTTCTCGAACTTTTCTTCGTCACTGTATAATGGTTAAATTGTCTTTAAAAGCAAAATTCAAAATCTTCCTGTTGCAGTTCTTTATGGAAAAGGAATATATTTTGAAAACTCTCATTTTAAAAACTAAGCTATTTAAAGGGCGTGCTTGAAATGATGAATTTTGACAATGTAATTAAATAAATTTATGTATAATATTCACGAATATTGACAAATAATGGAAACACCAAATTGTATGATACCATTATTTAGACGGCCAAAAGTAGCTCGAAGTGCCAAATCACTAATATAAAAGTGCTTTCGTCTTTAAATGAGTTCAACTGAGAAGTAGTTTGTAGTATTGACGTGTGCATTATTTTTTTAAAGACAATCATTGCAAATCCGCAACTAATGAGTTAATACATCTCTCTGATGCAGTAAAAATTCTTAAATGCAATTTGATTTCTTTCCTACTGTTCATTATCCTATTTTTCTACCCCAACGTTAAAGTCTCCAAGTTATTTTCCCGAATAAATACACTGATAAAAAAAGGAATCTTAAGTCTGCCACCAAGAATTATGTTTTCTTGAATCAAAATGCTGCTGTTTAATTTAAGCTAATTTGTTGCTTAACCCGAGCATCCAAGCAGATTGTTTCCTTATCTTTAAAAAAATGCAACTTGAATCAAGATAAAAGAAAAGAAAGAAAAGAAAAGAAAAAAACTTTGGCGGCAAATTCAAGAATCATCAGGTTCAAGCCAAGTTATTTTTTGAGTGTAAAATTTCTGGTTATCTGGTCAAGAACCAAAAGTTAACGTTTACACTCACGGTAGGATTGCATATTGTACTATGTTTCTACCCTAGCATTTAAGTCTCCGTGCCATCTTGCGTTGAATTTAATTCCTCCTTCTTCTTGTCTCTGATAATTTTCCTATCATTTTCTCACTTATCCCAGTAGCTTATAATTGTAAATAGGCTTTTTGAAACATACCAAATCCAAACCATCAAATATCGTTTTTTGTGAAAATATAAGCTTTAATGGTCTCAAAATACTCGTAGAACACCTTCTTATGCTCTAGTATCAATACCTTAATTTTGAGATTGATTGGGGAAAGACCCTCTCTCTGCGAACGAGAATATTCTCAAATGAATTTGATGTGTTATGTTCTTTAATGAATGCCCTCCCCTAGGAGCAAGACGCACAAGAGGCTGACATTATATCGGGTGTGTTCTGCCAAAATCGAAAGAACCCATTGCCAATCGGTTCGTTGAAATCTAATATGGGCCATCCTCAATCTGCTGCCTGTGGGGCTGGGATAGTCAAAGCCTTGATAGCTCTCAATAGATCCAGGATTCCACCCAACATCAACCTGACCTCTCCCATTCCTGAAGTTACGTCAGGAGGTATTCAGGTAAGGCGCTTTTTAGATCTCAAAAGTTGTATTTTTGTACTATCAGGCTTCAAAACTACTGACGGCTTCTCGGTTCGAAGTGCCCCTTCGACCCAGAATACATGAGCTGACACTCAAACACTCGGCATAGATTTACCACATATTGGTACAGCTCAATACGCACACGTGCACCCAAAAGTTCGATGTTTGAAATTTTCACTTGGAGAAGAGTAATTGCCTTTTTTTTCAAACAAATTGTTTTTCAAACAGGAATTCTTCCATTGTACCACATTACTCAACACTCTCCAGTATAGCTTTCTCATCAGCTCAGAATTTTTTTCGTTTCTTTTTTTTCATATATTTTAGCCCAAAATACAAGAAAGGTGCAATTAAGTCAACGAACTTAAAGGTTTTTTCTTTGCGCAGGTTGTGACGGATGCAACGGCGCTCAACAGTAAGCTTGTGGCTGTGAATGCAATTGGAACGGCTGGACATTTTGGTCACATTCTCTTAAAACAGAATTCCAAGTGAGTAAATAAAAATCAATGTTTAGGATCCCTCTTTTGCTCATGCATCTCGATTTAAATTTTATTTGTTGAAAGTATCCATTTTCTCTATTGGATATTTCGTATTGAAGAGCATTCCCAAAAAAACAGGGGGATCCAAAATTATGAATGTAAGCAATTGTGAAAGTCACACTAGAATGGCAACATGAGATTTCCAAATTGCATGATGCAGTCATGGTAAAATTTAAGCGACAATCATACATACATACATACATTTAAGTCGCTTTACAACACTCCCTCGCGCTCTACGACTCCTAACCTCCACTGCTCTCTTTCAAACCACAAATCTTGGGGGATTGAGCACCTTAACATTTCCGCTTCAATCCCTTCCCTCCAACCTTTCATTGGGCGCCCTCTGCGTCTTCTCCCAGGAGGAACCCAGTCAAGGACCTTCTTCGGCAACCTGTCTCCTGCCATTCTCTGGACATGACCATACCAAATGAGTTGTTTTGTCATAATGTCATGCACGATGGTCTGCTTGGCATCCATGATATCCCGTACCGTCTCATTCCTGACGCGATCCTTTCTGGAAATACCAGCGGATCTACGCCAGAAGTCCATCTCTGTTGCCTCTAAAACCTCCCAGGTCCGCTGTTTCATCGGCCATAATTCACACCCGTAGGTTACTATGCTCTTGACAATCGCGTTGTAGATCCTTCTTTTGTTCTCTTTGGAGATCCTTTGGCCCCAAAGGACTCCATTTAACATAGCGATTGCCCTCCTACCCAGCATATTCCTCTTCTTGATGGCCTGGTCCAATCTTCCATCCTGGGTTAAAAACACTCCTAAATATTTGTAAATATCGCAGCTTCCAATTTGCCGCCCATCCTCTAGCGACAATCATAAAGAAGGAAGTAATTTGATCAGTCTGCATTATAATATTACAAACACAGTGCATTCTCCTTATTGCAGAGCGTCATCCACAATGATAATTGACGAAAAATTACCTCAAATCTTGCTGTTGTCTTCACGCACTGAGGCAGGGATAGAGCAGATTTTGCACCAGACAGAGGTTACAAAAATTACTCCAGAATTTGCGGGGCTTCTCAACGGAGTATTTTGGCGTGAGGTGAAGAATCATATGCACAGAGGATACACTATCGTTTCAGCGAAAGGCATCAACGCTCCCAGAAAAGTCAAGGTATACAAGGCTTCTTCATCAAAATTTGTGAAATTTATTGAATGAGCAACAATTATTATGCCGACAGATTTCGTCGCCCATTTGACAAAAGGGCGTATCTCAATTTCCACATAAGCCTCGTTATACATATAAATCCATGCTTTTTGGGGTTCATGCAGAAATCGAGATGCACGCTTACTTGAGAAGAGCGCCGATATAAGACGGTTTATGTGAAAGAGAACCAAATACTCGTACTGAAATTTTTTTTCAAGGATACACTTATGTCGGGCTATTTGTCGATCAAGGTCAATCGATAACGGTTCTAAAATTGACTCACTGATGTCATTGATTTATCTCTAATCCATTCAATTATTCGTGTGATTCCAGAGACTGGAGGATCGTAACAGACCTGTCTGGTGGGTGTTCTCTGGAATGGGTTCTCAATGGAACGGCATGGGCACTCAACTCCTTCGAATTCCGATTTTCCGTGATGTAATTGGCCGGTGCGACAAAATCCTTCGTCCACGAGGTTTAGACATTAAGCATATTTTGACGACAGACGATGAGAGCGTTTTTGACAATATTCTCCATTCGTTCGTTGGTATCACCGCTGTTCAGGTCAGTTTCTGATAGACTGCTCATGCGTAACGCTATAGGGGAAGAGGGGCTAGGCTTACGTTACTTGTGCGTTACGGATGGCGAGGAGGTCAATGTCGCGTTATATAATGCTTCAGCGATTAGAATAAGAGAATTCAAATTATCCTGATCAGTACAAAACACAAGAACATAATTAGGGATGAAAACAGCTAAAATTGAAATTAAAAGAAAACGACACGTTTCACCCAAACTCTTGGGTTTCTTCCATCGAAGAATTATAAAGTATAGAAATATGTTTATGCTTTTTGAAGGAGAATTTCTTCTCATGTAAGACTCCTCTATTTTACGCCATTTCAACATATTTTAATATATTCTCTTTCGTATTAGTACTCTCCTTTTTGCTTTGAATTTAAAAATGAAAAAATGTTCGAACTGCTTATTATGCATTTTCCTCTTCTTTCATTTTGACATCTATTAATTTCTAGCACAGATAAAAAAGCGGGGGAAAACCAAGATTTATCAATTATTTTTCTGTCTGAGGGAAGGGGGTCAATTGGAGTGATAATCATTTTTTAAGGGACATACAGATCTGCGTTACGGCGGAGGTGAGGGGGTCAAAAATCTGTTTTTAAGCCTTACGTATTTTGCGAACCTCATTCCTCAAGCAAAAATTGGATATCCAAAACCAAAGATGTCAGGGCGAATGAGTGTCAGAACTTCCACCCATTTCGTATGTTCAAATTCAATTAGTTAAACTATTATGCCGATGCATAAAATCGTAAACATTACTCAATGATTACAGATGAGAACAAGTTGGATTATGCAACCGCTAGCGATAGCAATGTTCGTCATGGGAACGTTAGCTTCTGGGATATGAAAATGTTAAGGTACAGTTCGTTTGTAGTATCTTCTGAATTGAAGGGGCTATGTAATTTTGTGTTGACATCTCTTTTTTAACATTTTTAATTATTTTCTTTGCATACAAGAAAGCTGTTATGTACCAATTATTTATTTTCGTTGGATTATTTATGGTTTTCGGAAGTTAACGCATTTAAGTCTCAGGTTCGCTTTTTCGGCGTAAAGTATACATAAGGTGTCCCAAAACCACCGGGACTTGTTCTGTAACTTCGAAAGTAAGATAGATACAGACATGATCTTGATTTCATTTTAAAGATCAACTCAATACCTATCGATTAAAACCAAGATCAGCTCAATCGGATAAAAATTGACCGAGTTCTGGCAATTTGAAATCAGCGAGGAAAGTTTACGCCTACAGTTTTTAAGGAAGATTCTTCATCGCCGTAAATCGAAAAGTCGGCCGATAAAGTGATGCTTATTGTGTTTTTTTATTTTCGAGGTGTCATTTATGAACATTTTGTACCATCAAACACAACAGTTGACAGTGCGTATTATTGCAAAGTGCTAAAGGAGTTGAGAATGCACATTTCCCGGAAACCGTCGGACTTGAAAGCTCCGTGGATACTCCATCAAAACAATGCGCAGCCTCACACATCGAGCTTAACACGTGAATTTATGAGTAAAAATGGAGTTGAAACAATCCCTCATCCCCCTTATAGCCCTGACTTGGCTCCATGTGATTTTTGGATGTTTCCTACGCTTAAAAAGGAGCTTAGCGGACGAAGATTCGTATCGAAGACCGAAATCCAGAATGCAATTCAAAACTTCTTCAACTCCATCCCAGAGGAAGAATTCAGAAAAACAATGTTGGATAAGTGGCAAGAGCGCATGAAAAAGTGCATCCGGTTTGATGGACGGTACTTTAAAAAGCAAAAGGAAGTTATGGAAGATTCGGAGGAAAGTGGATACGAATACTAACTTTTTGAATCCTGGTAAGCGAAAAATCTTCCTAAAAACCGTAGGGGTAAACTTTCCTCGCTAATTTCAAATTGTCATGACTCGGTCAATTTTCATTCGATTGAGCTGATCTTGGTTTTAATCGATAGGTACTGAGTTGATCTTTAAAATGAGACCAAAATCATGTCTGTATCTATCTTACTTTTGAAGTTACAGAACCAGTCCCGGTACTTTTGGGACACCCTACGTATGATATTTTTACTCTACACATATGCCCGAATACGCATCATAAGGGACCTATGTGCTTCCTAAGTTGCCAAGTATTAATTATTGTTAGATGATTGGTCTAAAACATCCAATACAACCAGTAAAAATTAACTGTCCCCTGCGAGATTCGAACCCCCGCTCGCACAAAAAGTGACAATCTCCCATAGTCAAAATGGTATCTCTGCTGACTGAGCCATCCCGCCGTTCGGAAGCGACGTGAGAAAAGAGAACAGTTAAAGTGATCTCGGACGCTGAGCGGGGCTTCACAAAAGACGACCTTGAGATTTCGGCAGTTCGGCCACTGGCGTGATAAAAGACAACGGATCAAGCGCATTCCTCTGTGAGACATTGTTTACCTATGCTGTCATATGTCACAAGGTTCATCTCAGCATGCATTTGCAATCGTGGCAGTAAGCTGAGGCAATATTTCTGTATTCATGGATTAAATCCATCAATCGAGTTCTGATTTTGGCTCATATATTCGTAACGGGTCCTCCAGAGCAATTTTCCACCTTGTACGATGGTTATTATTTCTTTATATCTATGTTTAAAATTTGAGGTAGGATAATGGCGGCTTCTCAAGAGCAACGAGGTAGGCGATCTTTTGCACCAACGAACAGAAAACTGATGGCGAAAAATAACCAATCGGAACCTCCCAAAAAAAAGAATTTGCCCAAAATTGGAACTTCGTGGTTCTGCGCAGATTTACCAGTCAGAAACGACATCTCAAGGTGGAAAAAAACTCGCTGAAAGCGAATTTTAGCAATCAACACAACTTGACGTAGAGACATGATTGGCTAAAAAATACAACGGTTTTTGATACATCGGAAAATCAACCAAAAATCGAAGACTGGGCGAAACGCTCAAGGTCGCAGAGGCATAGGGAATCCCATAGCGATAGCAACGGAACGATTGTAATATCATGGGGAACTCCGTTCCCATGACAAAAAAAAAACACTACGAAGTGGCCCGAACGGTATGTAACAAGGTGGAGAAATGGTGCTGGGTCCACACCATTTCGCGGGGAAAACAAAGCCAAGTAGTTTCAAAAATTCTAAGTAGAGTCAAAAATACAATTTTTAACTCTAATGAGTACCATTACATTACTCAATGATTACAGCTCGGACTGATTGAAATACTGCGAGCTCTTGAATTGGAACCTCATGGCATGGTGGGCCATTCATTAGGCGAGTTGGGCTGCGCTTATGCTGACGGTTGTTTAACACTGGAGCAGACTATTTTGGCCTCCTACGCGCGTGGTAGAGCTTCAATCGAGACTGATTTGATCAAAGGAATGATGTCCGCAGTAGGTATGCTACCGAATCAGCAGTCCTCTGTTCAAATTGTGGTCATTTCTTTACCTCTCCTTATTCCTTTAACTCTGATAATCTATATATTTAAATGCGGATAAAATTGTCGTTCTCAAGACGAAGAAACCTAATTTCACTCTAAAACAATTGATTCAAATAATTTTTAACGAGAATATGACTGCAAATCATAATTTTACTGATATTTATCCATGATCAGAAGAAAAATCAGTCTAGTGCTTGATTAATATAAAATGAGCTAGGGAGCTGTTTCTGCACAAATCACGTGATTAAAAGTTTAAAAAATTATTGTTAACTCACTTGCGACCAATTTCTTAGGCGGCAGACGCGCATTTCGAGCTACGGCTCATCGTCAGTGGCGTGGCGTGCTTTGCGATAAATAGATTGACCTGTCATTTAAACATATGGAAAAGGATCCATGAATAGGGTGTTCGCAACGAACATCTTAATAATCGATTCTTTACCATAGCTTCAAATGAGGAAATATCGATAATTGATCATTCACGCCACGCCACTGGGTGCGACTCGAATCGTGCGACTTGAGTCGCACCGATGATGAGCCCTTGAAACGCGTCTGCCGCCAAAGAAATTGGTCGCAATCGCAAGTGAGTTAATAATATTTTTTTAAAATTTTAATTAATGCTTGGTTAGATATGTTTTATAGTTTCTTCGTGAATTAAAAATCGAGAGAGGAACTTTTACAACGTTGATATTTTTCGGGATCAAGATAATGGTTATCACAAAAAATAACATATTATTACGTCTGAAAAAGTCGGTGGAACCGTGAATCAACCATAAGCATTGTAAGAACATGATTTCTTTCTTACCCCATGTTATTAAGTCCACTGCCTGGATAAACAGCAAGTATGGTATGAAATTTATAGTTGTCTTTCTCTTTTTTTCTCTATTTTATTAAGTCCTTTGGCTGAATAAATAGGGAGTAAGTTATTAAATTTGTACTTGTTTTCCTCTGATTAAGGTATGTCCGGCAACAATATCTCTACCTTACTCCCACCAAGTATTGATGTGGCATGCCAAAACTCTGCCTCGAGTTGTACGATTTCTGGACCTGCGGCAGACGTGGAAAACTTTGTCACCGAGCTAAAATCTAAGGGAATTTTTGCAAAAAGTGTCAATGTCGGGAACATCGCTTATCATTCTAGATACATCCAACCAGCTTCACAATTATTATTAAAATACTTGAAAGAGGTACGCCGTCCAGTTTTCATAATGCGGATTTAAGGGCTGAGTTTTACAATTCACATGTTACGTTGATTTTTTTTCTTATGTCTCGTTGAATTCAATCAGCCAATCGTAAAATCTGGCACAGAAAATCAGAGAATGAACATATCGAGCTCTAAAATTTGCCATACATTTTTAGAATTCTGTTACGCATTAAGCGCTCGAATCTTACACGGAAAAAAAGAGGTAGGGGATAAGTCCTAACTGTTGGACGATATGGACATTCCCAATTAATTGCGGTAATACCCCGATTAATTGTGGTAGTATCCCAATAAATTGTGGTCGTATTCCGATAAATTAGGTTACTAACCCAAATGTTGCGGTACTACCCCAACTTGAGTTGCGGTGCTACCAAAATTAATTGGAAATGCCAATCATCCAACAAATTTGGGTAGTATAACAATTTTGGGAGATAACCCCTGACACTTTTTTTCCCGTGTACTCTGTAATGCAAAATCACTAAAGAATACGCCTCCTGACCACTTCGCAGTCCAACCCTCCAAAGCGCTTCGCGCCTGAGGCGTTATGCGTTACGCGTACTTTTATGATTTTATATTCCAAAATAAGATAAGAGTAACGAGTAATGCATTACTCCTGAAGCACGAAGCATTTCATAAAATTGGGCTGCGAAGCGGTCGAACGGCCTACCCCTCAATTCTATACAAATTATTCATATCCGTTACTTCCTTAAAATTGTTTGATTCCAGGTACTACTTTCTAAACAATTAGGCCTCTGCAATTTTAAACGAAAACATTGAGGGTCCGAAAAAACATGAATTTTCGAAGAAAAAATGGGGTTTCCTCGATTTAAAAAATTATCAAAATACCGATGTTTATTCAGTCAAGAACAAGATACGAAGTCTGTCAGTTTCACCGCCGATATATTTTTAGCTAATTCCTCAAAGCTCCACAGCTTTGAAATGGTGATTGCAGGTACAGGGTACAGGCAATGTATTTGATAATTAATTTTGACTTTCAGATCATTCCACAAAATACACGAAGATCCAACAAATGGGTCAGCACTTCTGTTCCAGAGGAAGACTGGGACTCCGACCTGGCCAGGTTTAATTCCCCCGAATATCACACCAACAATCTACTTCGTCCTGTCCTCTTCGAGGGTATCATCAAGCACATCCCTTCAAATGCAGTGCTCATAGAAATCGCGCCTCACGGATTGCTCCAAGCCGTGCTCAAGCGAGCAGTTCCGGAAAATACTACAAATGTCTCTCTTACACATAGGTCCAGTCCAAATGGCGTGCAGTTCTTGTTAGAGGCTATCGGAGAGTGACTTAAGTCATTTATCGTATTGATTCTGACGTCATATGAATCAGTGGTTTTCAAAAGGTAACAGGTCCATTTCTTGATGCGACTTACTTAGCATGTCCTTTATGCAAAAGCTCATGCAAAAATGGACTTGTTCCCTTTTGAAAACAGCTGATTTATATAGAGAAACGATCAGCCAAAATTGGTATCATATCAGATAACCAATTTGTATGTATACAGTAGCTCTTTGGCTTACGCTATCATCAAATCAAAATTTTCACAATCAGCTGATTTACATAAGAGTGCTAATGACGTGTTTTTGTATCCTGTAATGTTTTATATTCATGCAATTAATATTGACAGTATTATATATTAATCTTGACGTCAAGTAGACATGTAAAGTTTATGTGAAAAGTCTTCTGTGATGGTGGCGTAACCAAAAAGCTGCAGGAAGAATACTCATACAATACCTTAGTTCATTCATTACCCGCTATTATAATGGTGTTTTTCAACTTAAAATTCGTTTAAGTTAAATGGATTATATTCACGTTATTTTTACCAAATGGTGACAAGATTTAAAACGCAAAGTTATCTGGCTATACCAATCGATCGAAAAAATGTCTTTCGAAATTTTTCATTCTTTAAATGCCAACATGTTTTTTTTTTTTCGAGGTTATACCTTGAGGGATGTGAGCCAAAAGTATCTGCCCTGTACCCTCCGATCCAGTATCCTGTGCCTTGTGACACACCTAGTCTTCAGCCATTTGTCACTTGGGACCATTCTGAGATATACAAACTTCCTAAATTCATGGTAAGAGACGACAACCAATAATTTGATAGGGCTTATGTTGCAATGGAGATACGAGTAGTTCCCGCGGATTCAAATACGTCCATACCATACAGGGTGTTTCAGACCACCCGTACCAGGCCTTTTTCTCGGTTGGTTTAGGTCGTACGAAGTCGGAGACCGCGGGGTTGAATAGGGAATCGACCCCAAGGAATCCGAATTTTGTGGTCCCGAAACCCCCCCCACCCCCCCTTGGGGGGTAAAGGGGGGGTCACGATGCTAAAAGTCACGGTTTCCGACCGAATTGCGGATAGAGCGCACCAGAATTGAAAAGCACGGAAAATTTCACGTGGAATTGACCCCTAAAAATCCAAAATCAGACCATCCAAGGCCCAAAAATGACCCCCTAAAGAGGGGGACAGTACCCCCCTCCATAATTTCTCTTTGGTCTCAAAATTGACGTAAATTCTCCAGAAAAAGACGGATTCCCAGGTAATCGACCTCGAGAAATCCAAATTTCATGGTCCCGAAGCTCCTCTAGCCCCCCTTGAGGGGTAAACGGGGGGCCCAATTTTAAAAATCGGGGCTCCTTTCCGAATCGCAAATTGATTGCATCCAAATTGAGGAGCAGAACACATTTACATCTTAAGTAACTCCTAAGAGTTCTAGTAGACCCCCTGAATGGCAGAAAGTAACTCCCTGAGTAGGGGGGCTTCGCCCCCGCCAAAAATTTCTCAAGATTCCTCTTTGGTCGCAAAATTGACGTCGATTCTCCAGAAAAAAACGGTTTCCCATGTAATCGACCCCGAGGACTCTAAATTTCATGTTCCCTGAGCTCTTCGGGGTCGATTACATGGGAAACCGTTTTTTTCTGGAGAATCGACGTCAATTTTGCGACCAAAGAGGAATCTTGAGAAATTTTTGGCGGGGGCGAAGCCCCCCTACTCAGGGAGTTACTTTCTGCCATTCAGGGGGTCTACTAGAACTCTTAGGAGTTACTTAAGATGTAAATGTGTTCTGCTCCTCAATTTGGATGCAATCAATTTGCGATTCGGAAAGGAGCCCCGATTTTTAAAATTGGGCCCCCCGTTTACCCCTCAAGGGGGGCTAGAGGAACTTCGGGACCATGAAATTTGGATTTCTCGAGGTCGATTACCTGGGAATCCGTCTTTTTCTGGAGAATTTACGTCAATTTTGAGACCAAAGAGAAATTATGGAGGGGGGTACTGTCCCCCTCTTTAGGGGGTCATTTTTGGGCCTTGGATGGTCTGATTTTGGATTTTTAGGGATCAATTCCACGTGAAATTTTCCGTGCTTTTCAATTCTGGTGCGCTCTATCCGCAATTCGGTCGGGAACCGTGACTTTTAGCATCGTGACCCCCCCTTTACCCCCCAAGGGGGGGTGGGGGGGTTTCGGGACCACAAAATTCGGATTCCTTGGGGTCGATTCCCTATTCAACCCCGCGGTCTCCGACTTCGTACGACCTAAACCAACCGAGAAAAAGGCCTGGTACGGGTGGTCTGAAACACCCTGTATATCGCTGGCCGGAGTGCGAAAGTTCGCTCTTTCGTTTGCGACGTTGTAGACTTCCCGTCATATTTAATTTTTTCTTTGGAAAACCAGCCAGCGCAATTTCTTAAAAACTGCCTTGATTTTTCTACTCCATCAGCAGAATATTCTGTATATTTTTCAATATGTGATATGGACTCGTCTCTCTATATGATCGGAAATTTTGAAACACTCCATAATGGTGGATTACGTGCGGTTTTGAACTTTGGCCAGCTACATATTGTACATGAATTTGACCAGAATCCTGAATCCGTTTTATCAAAGTAGAAAGTAGGCACCGGCATCTCCAAACATTCGATAAAATGTAAGAATGCATAGTTCTTTTTTCATCTTTATCGCATTTAAAAAGAGAGTTTTGTACAGCTGTTTTGTTTTCCTTATGTAGCAACTTGGCAGCAAAGACATACTATCGGTCTCTGAAAAAATTATACCGTTGGAAGAATTTAAGAGCAAAATCAAGAAGCAGAATAATGCCAACCAGCCTGTCTCAGAGTTAAGCCTACTTTTGGTAAGAAATTGGAACAAAAATTAATGACATTGGTACAAGAATATTAAGAAACTAAATCTTGCACAGACAAAAAATAAACAAAATGAAAATAATAAACATCAACGCAGCCTTCAATAAAATATGTAACACTAATTTATTTTTATTTTCGACCCCCCTTCCCTCATCTTAACGCCTTTGTGCTGTAGAATAATTCCCTCAAAACATAAAAAACAACACGCATAATGTTCTTCTCAACCCCCCTCCCTCCTCAAAGTGTTACGGATGTAATGCCCGGCCCAATACAATCTGTGGAAATTCTAAGTCATTGACGCCCGTGCAGAGTTAAATATTTTATTGGAAAGTTATGAAAAAGTTGACAAAAAATGGAAATATACTAAAAATGCCACGTACGAACACGAATTCTGATTGGGTGTTTTATTTTTAAACGGTTTTAAATAATAGCTGAAAAATTCTTGGGTGGATTTCTCTTTCTTGAAAAGTAATGTAGTGAAATTTTTGAGCCTTTCTACTTACTCTACCAATTCAAGTCAAATTTTCAATTCCCAGTTTGAAGTCTGGAAACTGTTTGGAGCGATGAAGAAAACGCCGTACAATCAGATGCCAATCATTTTTGAGAATATTCGGATCCATTCAAAAGTAAACTTTTTCGTCGAAGGTAACGTATGACACCGTGCCTACTTTAAATTTTCAAATAATTACCCACTTCATTTTGATCCACTGTGCTCTGGTTTTCATTTACGTATCATTCATACTGTGTGATCATTACGGTTTCATTTAGATATGATTTTCCCCAGGTTCTGATTCTGATCAAGCTGATATTCTAAAATAACAAATTAGCTATTGGGTCGAAAATCAAGACAAATGTCTAATTTTTCTAGCAAAAAAAAGCACGATGGCTCCAGTGCATGAATTTTAAAATTGAGAGCAACTTGAAGTTAAGAAACGGTCATCTTCTAACATCATTGCTCAGACATTCAAGAGAAATTAGCGAGAATCATGTAATGAGCAAAATATCTGTTGTTGCAAATAATAGTTTTCTGAATTGAGTTAAAGTTCACAAAAGTTTCAGCATGCGTGTAGTATGTCCATTTCGACGGTGAAACTACCAAACCACGTATCTCGTTTGCGGTGTTTAAAAATCTACGCTCGCATTTTATTTTTTTGAAGTAGACCAAATCAATATCATTCCTTGAAATTTTCACGGAATTTTCTCCGCACGAAGAAGAAAAATCACAGACATTTTCAAGACCGGATGTCAAGTAGTTTTTCATTTAAAAAATAAAGTATGACAGGAAGTCTGCGACGTCGCAAACCGAGATACGTGGTTTGGTAGTTTCACCGTCGATTTGTTAATTGACTAATTTATGATAATTTCATTTTTTGTTGTGTTTATCAATAGTTTTTATATTTTTCGTGTAAATTTTTAGATCCGTGCGAGCTCTACATGGCTATTATGCGTGGTAATGGAGACTTCACGATTAACCAAGTAGTGAGCAAGGAAGAAATCAAAGAGAGAAGAGAAGAGGTCACGGAGGTCGGTACTTCTCTCATTAGTGGTCGAATCAAAATTTGGGAAACACGGGAAAATGATGATGTACCAATCAAAGTAAAAAAAGCAAAAAAAGTAGATGACAACAGCTTCGAAACCTTTACATGTGACAGCGATGAATCGTCATCTACTAAATATGAAATGAGGCACTGTGATTCAGGCAAGTCATCGCTTTAAACTGCTGTATATTAATAAGAATAAGTAAGTTCACAAAAAATTATATTTGTTGTACAAATAAGCGTGATCAATAACGGAAGTTATTGAAGTGGTAATCTTCGAGGTAAAATATTGTACGTTTTTCAAAAAATTTAAAAACAATTCTTACAAAATACACTGTTGTTTTTTTTAAAAAAAACTTAAAGAAAAATCATTCTTTGTTTCTCACGTTTTATCAAATGTTCTCTTGTCTCTAAAGTTTCATGCTTAAATGAAGTACTTGTCTTACCTCCAGGAATGTGTGGAACTATCAACTGGACTCAAGATTGGCTCACGTTTTTAAACGCTATGATTGAAGTAAATATACTCGCAAATGTTGGAGAAATGGATCATGGAGCTGAACCAATTTCATTTAGAACTATCTGTCTTATGCCAGATAAACTAGAAAGGAAGCATAATGGTATGTAGGCTCATTGAATGATATTCTGATCTTTATAGCCGTTGATATAATCGGAATTAATGATAGGGTATTCATTGGAAAATGAAACAAAACCATGCATTAATCAGAAAAAAACTATCCTGAATCTACACACACAATATAGGTGTTATATTTTCATCAAATGGATGACTTTAAACAGAATGGACCTGTTGCAAACTTTTGCTAGAGCAAAACTAAGAGTTGTTTCTTACAGATAATGCCTCAAAAATCACGATGAGCGCATCGGCAAAGTCTGAAATGCTTTCATAACTTCACAATCTGCGCGAGAAATTTGCGGTTTTTTAAGGTTCCCGCTTCGAAAACGATACTACGGTACAGGTGAACATTTTGTTGCAGGAGTCGTTCCATTGGTGGCAAATACTCATCATGGCCGACGCCAGTCCGCCAAAGCACGTGTGATGGGACGAGATAACACCTGAACAGGATTAAACCAGATAACAATCGGCGTGTTTACGTTCATATTTTCCTCGCCCGCCTTAATTGACCTTGAACTCTCCTCGAATCACGCGAGGAACTGCGCAAGCGTCGGCCATGATGAATATTGCCGACGATGGAGCGACTCCTCTAACAAAATGTTCACCTGTGCAGTAGTATCGTTTTTGAAGCGGGAACACTGAAAAAAAAAGTTCCGTAAATATGGAACCACGATCTTGTCCGGTAAACACGACCGAATTATTCGGTCTGCTCAGCCGAACTGTTCGGTCCACTCAGTGGCGTGCGGTCCGGATAAGCAAGGCAAGCACTGCTTGCCCAAAGATTTCTAAAGTAAGAAGAAAATTACACCTATTAAATGTTTTACATTTTAGCAAATATAATTTATTAAATGCGTTCAGTAAGTAAATTGCATTAAAAACAGAAAGAGAGGGAGACAGAAATACGTACAGAGCCACCGAAGTAGGAAAGCAGAAGAGCGGATGGAGGTGGCGCAGCGCGCTGCGCGGCCTGAACACGGGCCAACTCATGCGCTGGAGAATCGCTTGCGATCAGCTGAGCGGAGCGCCACTGCTCGGCGGCGGAATCAAGGTAGGCGGGGAGCGCGGTACGTTCCGAGTCCGAGCCCTTCGCTGCGCGATCGCAGCTCGCTTCTCTTGGCCACCTCTTGGGCCGTCACCGCAGCGCGCTGCTTCTGCCTTCGATGCGCTATCTTGTTCCCTCTTTCCGTCGCGGTTGTAATTGCTCCTCCGGAGCCAATGCCTTAACATTCTATAAAATTTCGCTCACCTGGATCTAATTGGTGATGAATTAGACAATTCTCAATCATGTTTTAAATGCAGAAAGCCTTTTTTTTTTGGGAAATTTAAGTAACTCAAAAAATTCTAAATGCTGTAGAATAAAGACTATAATACCTCAAATAAGTGGCAAAATTAGGAGTTATGAGTAAGGAGCCGTCCTCCAATGCTCAATAACATTCGAAACAAGTTGAGTAAACGAAATCATAAATAAGAGAGAAAAAAATAAAAATACAGTTTTTCAAGACGTTGTCCATCAGATTTCATCCGAAAAATAGAGCAAATAGAGTAAAATTTTAAGAATTTTCTAGGGAGGCTAGGGTGAGGGGGAAGGGAAAGAGGCCACGTTAACCCCCCCCCCGATGGCGAACGCTAGAGCTTGCCCTGTCACTGAACCCACCGCACGCCACTGGGTCCACTGAACCGAACTGTAAGAATTTATTATGGTTCGGTCGCACAAACCGAACAATTCGGTTGAACAGACCGAATAATTCGGTTGTGTGTACCGAACAAGATCGTGGTTCCAGATTTACCGAACTTTTTTTTTCAGTGAAGCTCAAAATAACGCAAATTTCTTACGCAGATTGTGAATTTATGAGTGCATTTCAGACTTTGCCGATGCGCTCATCGTGATTTTTGAGGCATTATCTGTAGGAAACAACTCTTCATTCTGCTCTAGCAAAAGTTTGCAACAGGCCCATTAGCTTAACTGTATGTGCAGTCATAAACTTTACCGACTTTTTATTTTTACAAGGAGAGTAAAGCAAGAGGATGATATTTGGTATAAAATGCACCGTGAATGAAGTTACATGGGTGAAATTTTCAAATGTTTAAACATTTTAGAAATAGAATCGTAGAATCCTAAAAGCTATTTTTTATACCATTCAGGTGCGAGGATCAAATTTTCAATCGAGCCCATGATGCATCACTTTGGCTGTGAGGGTGTTATCATTGATGGACTGAAATTGAAGCAGAAGCAAAAACCAACTCCTCATATTGAAAGTTTGGAATTCGTGCCGTTCGGAAAAACTTCCTTTGATGTAAGTTTATTTGAAAACCAAACATGTCAATTCATAATTGGATGTATTTATACTAACAGGAACCATGTGCATAGGGTTTGTGTGCAACATAGTTCCTTTTGGCGTAAATACGTCCAATTCAGTTAAAGTTGGAGTCATAATAATTATACTCCAAAACTGAAATGCGTTTAAATTCAAACTGTATTCAGATAAAATATTTCAAAATTTAGTTGATTTTCTCAAGGGTTGATAGATATACTGCATTTTTCAAGAGCTATTTTTTTCTGCATTCTTATCACTTCGTAAACTATTTTCACAGACACAACTTGCATTCATCCAAGCCTGCATGCGCGTTATCATTGAAAGTTCAATTCTGACCCCAAATGCCAAGGAGAAGCCTTCAAAAATGAAGTTATGCATTGTGCGGGAGGACACAATCAGAAGAATGGAGGGTCTGGTGGAAAACGCAATCGGCTCACTCAGTGAAGATGCTAACGTAATATAATGATAACACCTGATTTTCATTTACTTATATGATAAGAAGGTGTTTACCTAATCGAACATAAGAAATGGGCTACCAGGCAAGGCCTACTGTTTCTGTTGTACTGGAAAGTTTATTTATTGAATCACGAGACAAAGGCTTTTACTATTAACTTGAGAATCGTCTAAAATCTGTAAAAATTACTCATTTTTCAACAAAAATTGTGGGTTCATCCATACGATGGTACACAAGTGGCTAACATTTCTCTATCAAAATTCCTGAGTAATTTGAGAATAATATTTTTAACGATTAAGAGTCAGCTTGGAGGGGATTGAAAAATGCTAATACTTCATCATATTAAGTGCATATTTTTCGAAAATTCCCTAAAATTAAACACGGTTCTTAGAATGACTGTCATTTTGATCGATTCAGTATTGCGCCAGTTTCACTAAAATTTGAATTTTATGTATTTGCTATTCAGTCAGTGTGTTGTGGTAAAATTGGTCAATGATACGAACAACTTTATGTTAACTTTAAGGTTGAAGTCAAGGTCTTTAGCCCAACCGATCAAACTGATTTCTCCTCAGATGCCTCCCCATACATTTCATCAAACTTAGAGCAAATTTTGAATCTGTCTCGTTCCGGTAAAATCAAACATTTTTATCTCCTTTATGAGGCGCCGAATGAATGCAAAAATCAAAATAAAATAATGTATGACGGACCAAACAGGGATAAATTTATGGTTTTGTACGAGCAAGAATTTGACAAAAAGAAGCTATCATTCTTCAAAGAGGTAAGTAGAAAAGTTTTATAGATTTTTTTATCGTAACTTTAAATTTACATTGTATGACGTTCCTTTAACTTTTTTTCCGACTGAAGCTTTTAAAACGAGTTACAAATGCATCCCTAAAACGTTGTATAGATAATTGTAACCTATACATCTTAGATTACAGATCCAATTAGGTGACGCAAAGTGAAAGTATTCGCGATTGATAATGCTCTCTCAAGATAATAAAAGCTCTTCATTGTGCAGAAATCGAAGAGGAAGTATCCGGTATCCATTGATTTAACGGTAAATTTTGCCGGTGCTGAAGCATTTACAGAAGAAGTTTGTATCCTTAATTTAATCAGTAATGATTTTTGTGAGTTGGTAACAATCCATTAATAAACCACCATTTTATTCTTTAATAAACAATTGTAGATAAATCAACCTTCCTCGATCCATATCTGACACAAGGAGTTAGCTCGATATCTGTCTGTTCCCCGAGGAAGTAGCAATCAACGAATGATGAATTACATACCGTGAGAAAAAATACAGATAAAATTCTGATTAAATACAGTATTACAGACATACGAAGGTCTGATTTGTTGCTTTTCATTGCAACAAATGCTTTTTTATCTCCTCAATTATTGCGCTCTGGTGCAAAATTGTATGTGCGTGCGGTGAGATCAAGAGCAGGGTCTTCACTTGGGTAAAGGGCGGATAAGCAACTAAACTAACTCCATGGTAAGGCGTAGAGTATCGCGGCTATTTGAAGGCGCTCCGGGCCGGCCGTGCATTTGCAGTTCTTTACCAATGAAACTTTCACCGTTCCGATCGAAGTAAACTGTTACGATTTGTTGAAACAACTGACCGCTTAAAGAGTACCGATGATTCCTAATTTTTTGCGACATGTCGATTCTTTTACCTGAATTTTATTAGAAAGAACATCAAGTACAAAATAACCGACACTGCTCTTAATGATTCCTTTTCTGACCAACAATATTAATGCTGCATATAATTGTTAATCAACGCTAATCATGTCTTTAAGTTCAAAACAAACTAATCGGTGGGTACCCTGCCAACTGTCATGCTGAGGAAAAATACTGCATGAGCCGTTGGACGTAGCCACATCTTCTCCAATAAAAAACTATTTACCAGGAGAATTCTAGATTTGTTTCTGACAATTTCGTTCACATTTTAAGTCGGAAAAATTAAAGTATGAAACAGCTTTTTCTCAAAAATACTTGTTTTCAACTACGAACTCCTTTGGACGTTTTTATCTCAAAATGTTCGTAACATGTACCCTCGTACTGATTTTAAGCGTTTTTGGACTTGGGTGATTTTCTTCATAAACGGTCAGATTTTTATGAGAATTTTACCTTGCTTCGTTAGAAAAATGATTAGCCAGCATTCCCACACTGGTAAAAAACACATTACATCTAGAGTCCAGACTCTTAAAAACATTGACAAGAAAAAGTACTCTTGATTCAATGAGAATCTAGCTTAAATCAAGAACCAAGCCTCTTAATTTAAGCGGATTTCGTTTTGATTCAAGTAAAAATCCGATTGAATCAAGAGTATTTTTTCTTGTCAATGTTTTCAAGAGTCTGGACTCTAGATCCAATGTGTTTTTTTTTCCAGTGCATGTTTTGCACAAAATAAACATCGAGCGAATTGAATAGCTAGGTTAATTTATGAGTGCCAAATAAATTTTTTGTGCATACGCTTCACTTAATTGTATTAATACTTATGATGACACATTTCTGGATATTCCTCTCCTTCAGTGAAATAAGTGATATTATTGTTCAATTTGCAGTTGAATGATGAGCTAGAACCGCTAATCTACCATATTGATAATAATAACAACTGGCGATCCTGTGTCGAAGATCTAAACTCAAACAAAACACTACAAGATAAACGAGTTCATCTTGTCTTTTGGGGGCTTATTGAAGAGGATCTTCATCTTGTTACGCGTGAAGTACTACGGATTTGTTCCATTTTTCACCCTCGGTAAGGACTCGCTTTTCTAATGTCAGGATGTAAAGTTAGTAGATACCTCGTCACTTCTCTGACGCAAGTTCGTACCTCAATTGGACGAATTTATACTAAAAAGAACTATGTCTCATGTAAACCCTATGCACATGATTCCTTTTAGCATAAATACGTCCAATTTCAATGTGAGCCCTGTTTCATATATGAATTCATGCTTTCTGGGTTCTCTGTGGGGCGAATCAGCGTAGCCGTATTTAAGTGTAAAGGTTGGTGCATACATCCATGGACTTAAATTATGGTGAAAGAAGTCAAATGCCGATTCATTCAGCAGTTTTGCACAAAAGCAAACGTTGTAAAAATGCATTTACTTTCAGTAATTACTTGCATTAAATGGACTACATATTGCAATGAAGGACCTACTATTTCTAGCTCATTATAAAAGCAAAATATAAGTGATCAATTTCCGTAAGCAGATAGGTACTTAGATAGATCTGGCAGGAATTGTAGTTCCCAACTGCATAATGTAGTCCAAATAATAAATTCCATATTCTTTCCCTAATCCGTTTCCGTCTATCATCACGGGAAGAGTAAGGAGTTTTCGATATTTTTTTCAGATGTTTCTTCGTTCACGACGACGTAGCGACCGTTAATTCTGAATACGACCGAATTTGGAAGGAGCAAATGAAAAGGGATATGAATCTGAATGTTTTCCAGAATGGAAAATGGGGCACGTGGTTGAGAAATACGGTGCCCAAAACGGATTTTATTCACCAATTATCCGAAAAAGCACGAAATGCTGGTGCATCCAGCCAAATTGATATGAAGTATTTAAGTTTGGATGAAATATACTTAAAAAACCTTGAGGTAGGTACGTCAAAAGTTTCTGTTTCTTATATAATGTCATTGTTTTTTTGTTTTTTTTTTTTGGGGGGGGGGGCGACAAAATTCACTGTCCTCTTTTAAGGTAGGCGGACTTCAGTGTAACATTAAACTGATGCGCCCCATGAAGCATTCTAATGACACTCTTCCCGGCTTTTAATATGATTAGACTATAGAATTTCATGATATTTCTTTGTTTGATGAATGGTATTCATTTTAACCAAAACACCTTTTCTTCCAGGGTCTATGACTTTATGGTTCTAGCATATACTTTAAATCATGAATAAATGAAGCTGAAATGTTTTGACATTGTTATCGCTCTTATACTTGTATTTTGAATCAAAGTTGCAAAAAAATTAATAATATAAGATTCTACGTGCATTAAAAAATTATCGAATTTTTATATAACCGCCGTACGATACAAGCAATCTCAGATATTTAACATTTATTTAATTTCGATACAGGATCAAGCCATGATACTGGGCTACTCTGGGATCGCAGCCTCGGGTGAGGATAAGATGGGACTAGCCCACAGGAATGAGGATGTAGATGAAATTATTTTAGATCCGATTTTACAGTGGACAGTGCCCAAACACATAAGTTTGAAAGATGCTGCTTCGATACCTTTGGCTTATCTCATGGTAAATATCTCCGTATTCCTGAAATATAAATACTTGAACTGTATTACTCTATCCCTGGCATTCTATAGCATTTTGCCCATTCATAGTTTTCTATTCTGTTGCAAACTTTCCGCAAATATTTCTACTGCCACACATCTCCAGTTGAAAATTCTGTGACTCTCTTCCCTCATTGTTATAATACGAAAAACACTTTCAACCAGTCTTCATTCTCCATGACATCCTACATTTTGACTAAAATTTTATCTCTGAAGAGAAAGGAATAACTTTCATCAAAAATATTGAATATCAGGAATGTATTTTTATGTGACTTATGAAAAAATGACATCTTGCTCTGCCGTACTAAGGAAAAATGCCAAATGAGCCATTGGGCGTTGCCAAAGTTCCTTCGAAAAATCACAATTTTTCGGAACAGTTTCTGGATATTTCTGTTTCGCTTTTTCGAAGGATTCCGTTCATACTTTCATCTGAAAGGTCTGAAGATAGAAAGTAATAATTTTCATAACAATCTTAAATAGTAAATATTTCCCGAGAGACAATTTGGCAGCATTCGAATGTTTTTACTGCGTTATAACTCGCCACGGCTACCTCCAAAATCGTTCGACATACATGTGAGAATCAATGGAATTAGGAAAGATTGATCATTGAGTTATTTCCACTGCATTACACAATTATTTGGTGATTTTGATTTTCTCCTTCATAAACTCAGGCCAATCTAATCATCCGGGATGAATTTTGTAGACAATTGGGGAGAAAACGCGTTCTGGTTCATAATGGTAATACCCCTACTGGCATTGCTTGTATCGCTGTTGCTTTAATTGAAGGTCACACCGTCTACACCACCGTCCCAGATGACGTCAGAAGAGAATACGTGAGACGCATTTTCCCGCAGGTAAGAGTGATAAGCAGTGGTGTAGCGTATTTTCTGATATATCGATTGATCTGCCGTTTAAACCTATGGAAAAGGATCGATAAACTGGATGTTCGTAACGAACACCTTAATTATGGATTTTTTATCACAGCTCCAAATTGGAGGATATCAGTAAATGGATCACTCACCCCTGGTGTTAAGTAATCACAAAAGAAAACTTTCTCATTCGATGGTCCATATTGCCATTACAAAAATCAAAATACGGTGCGAAGATTAGTTCTTACTTTGGAAGCTCTTTAGGTTAGATGAATAATGGCCATTGGCGGATCCAGCAAATTTTCTTTTCTCCATTTAAACCTATGGAAATGTATCGATTCGTGTAGGGGCCATGTGCTCCGACTAGAATCGATCATTTAGCATAGGTTTAAATGGAGGAAATCCGGTGTTGCCAAATTGCTTGATCCAACTCTGATAATGGCATCGGTTTTCTTATTCTTTCTGTGTCTAAAACCGTCTCCTTTTCTGCCGGTTTTATGCAATACGTTGCGTCATAATTACCCATGGAGAGAAGATCGATAAGGGCTATATTTATGAGCCCACACTGAATCTCCGGAAATAAAAATATACATTTTAAAGGAATGCATCATGATTTGGTCATGTCCAGTCTCTTTTTGAGCATAATACTGGCTTAGCCTAAACATATGGGTCTGACGACAGATTTTGGCGGAAAATGGAAGTTTCGTGAATTGCGGTCAAATGCCAAATGCTAATGCATTTTTCTAAAAAATTGGCCGTCAGACCCATATTTAAGTCAGTATTAGACCTAAATAGAGACCGGAAATGACGTGAAATATAAACCCTCAATCAGCAAAAAAACCGTATCGTTGAAGAAATTCAGCTGGAATGGAACCAAATGGGTATTTTCCTTTTCTCAGACAGAATTCGAAAAAAATCTATGTATGATATGCATCATTCACAACTTCAGATAGTCAGCAGTCTCGGTATGCGCTCTATGTGAAAATCCCGCAACGCTCCATACAAACTCGTAAATATAACTGCTCAATTTCCTATGACACTCACGACAGATGCACTTATCTACTAGGTTCATATTCTTGACGCTTCGTGCCTGACTCAAGCTGAGTTCTTGGTGCCATTCATGCTCACAACAGATGGACAGGGTTTCGAAATCATAATCAGTGACCTGCCAGAAGAGCAGTTCCTTGCGTCGTGGAATTTTGTGGCCAGAGGTGGTTTTTTGGTCAACCTCAACGAAAGCTTGCCTGCGCGGTCCGTGCCTTTGCCGATGAATGGGTTTTTGAAGAACGTGAGTGTTTTCAGCCTTTCGAAGAGAAGCATATCTTTACTGCCTCCGCATCGGAAACAACGTTTGCATGGGCTTGTTGATGAGTTTTTGCGGTCTGGGAAGGTGATCATGATACCGCATCGGCCTTTGTCTGAAGATATGGCTCTCAGTCAAAGGTGGGTCATTATAAACTTTATGCAACACTGAAAAGAAAGTATCACTCTCTCAACTCTTTTTTTTTGTCAACTTTTTTTGGGGGGATTTACCCGGACTTCTCGATGCCAAGAATACAAAATTCAAAGAATAAACACGGCATGTTTAAAAAATGTTGAAGAAGGCGTTTACCCATGCAAACTTTGTAAAACATTGATACCAATATTTTCCTTTGTTACACACTATTGACTCTAGTTGGTAAAAAATCAATAACTAGCCTTTCACCGGAATTGGATGTTTTCAGATGAATTTTCTCATTAAGATATTACTTAGATTTTCTTTTCGTTCATGGCTCATTCATTTAAATTACGGTTCTTACGTAACAGATTATTAAATTAGGTTATAAAAAATAGAAAGAGAAAAAAAAGAGAAAAAAACAGGAGGCTGGAGAATTGGTATCAGAATTTCTTAGCTATTTTATTAATTTGAACTGCCATAGCAATGATAAATTGTGTAACAATTGTAATGGCTAAACGTATTTGCAGCTTTTCTGGTGAAATGGAACTGAAATCAAGCAACAAACTACTCCTTAAAATACTTGATTTTGAAGCTAAGCACAATGGGATCTTGTCCAACGTAACCAAGAGGTCAAAAATTTCTGCACCCTGCAAATCAGATGGATGTTACATCATTCTCGGTGAGTTATCCTACATGAATTGTAATGCCTTTGGATTAATACAGAGTATATTTGCTACCTTTAAAGTAGAGAATACAAATTTAAATTAAAGTTTAAGAAATTAAAAGAATTCCAGACCAGCTAAAGTCAATGATTCTGACGTTGTATGGTTTTGCAAACCGGCTTTTCACAGTATTTATTTTTAATAACCTTAAACTTCTTATGATCAAACAATTTTTTGTAAAAGTCGTCTCCACCGAAGCAAAAAATCAATAATCAGGAGCGTATACATCATTTTTTATTCTTCTAATTCAATTATTCTATAATCAACCAGCAATTTTTATCAATTCTTTTTTTAAGTCTGATTCTTTAAATTTATGGTCTTCACTGATCTCTTTATTAACGAACATCAAAATTTGTTCACCTTCGAACACATTCCAGGTGCCAACGATAAGAGACTATCTACTGTGATCAAGTGGCTACTTAAACATGGTGCAAAAAATATTTTACTCGCAAGTAGTCAAAATAGGAATGGTTTACTCCGTCAAGTCAGTGACTGGGCTGTCAATCGAGGTGCCACACTTTTGTTCAGTGGTTTCACAGACCCTTCCCTCAAAGGAGCTCAAGAGATTCTACAAAAGGCGTCAAAATTGGGAAAACTGTCAGCGGTGTTTAGTGTCGCATCTGTAAGTTGAGCATGCAGTTATGATATGTAATAAATGAGGAGTTATGTTGGCAATAGGGAAACTCAATATCAAAAGTTCAAAAAAATGGTGGTCCAGGTTTTGATTAAATCATTGTTGGTTTGCATTTTGCAATTAGGAACTACAATTTCTGGCTCTGACTCAAAAACACCTATCTGTATGGGGTAACTAATGGCACACACGCTGTTTCTAAAGTGAGCCAGAATTTGTAATACCTAATTGCAAAATGCAATCTAGAAGTTACGGCTCAAAAAACCAATGGTGAATGTGTCGTATTGTGAAAAATACAGTCAGGCATCTATGCACGTTGCGAACCTTACAGGCCTGCGCCATTCTATTACCGTTTGAAGGTTGCGTATTTAAACGGGATCGATTTAAATTCTAAAACTTTCATACTGCGAAATAAATCAGAAAAAAGTTGTGACGAGTTTAGTTTTAAACTACTCTGCTTTTTAATTGCGAGCGACTATCAACCAATATTTTCAACGTAGCGAAGTCAAACCGACACTCTAGTAAATTTTTTTTGGTAGGTATTTTACCATTGGCACATTTTTCTCCTTTAAAAAGCGTTCCATTTGGCATGACTACGTGGAAAAGTCCCTCAATATGCCTTTTTTAGGAGCATCTCTGAGGAAGTATCGTGGAAATCTGGAAAAAACCCAAACATGACAACAAAAAGACCGATCTGAAGGCTGCCATTCTTCATCCATCAAATCTACGGTGCAGAACTGCAAAAATGCGTATCTCGGTTGCGATATTTCATAATGTCAACCTCTATTTCATTTTTTTGAAAAGAAACAAGCGAACTTAAGAGTTTGGAATCCGTCCGGATTATTCTTAACATAGAGAAAAATAATCAACCAATCTTTTAAGAAATGCCAATTAGTAGTTTTTCATATAAAAAATAATATATGACAGGAAGTTTGCAACGCGGCAAACCGAGATATGTATTTCTGCAATTTCACCATCGAAATGATGTGTGACGATACCTGTGGTATTGACCCTTTAAAATCCATGAGTAATGGGGCTAAACTTTTCAAGTCCTTATAAAGCCACAGTTGTCACTTTAGAATGAATTTAGAAGTGAAATTACACGGAACAGTATCTGAAAAAAGAACCACTATTGAGTCTGAACGTAGTCAGCTAGAGGATTAACTTATGTCCTTCTTTTATTATTTGTCAAAATGCAAATAATTTTGATGTCCTCATGGACAGTAATTGATGAAGAGGAGGATCTGTGACTACAACAATCCGATACGGAGAAATTCAGCTATCGGATCATAATGAAACCCAAATTTTTTTGGCCACAGAAACCAATGATCACTGGTGCCAATGATCGGGAACTTCGATTACCTAAACCGAAAAATGTTGGTTTTCAATATGAATTGAAGTCTAGCCTTTGAAACCAATCATTTTATCTCAGTGCATGGTGCGTCATAAAGTTCTCTCATTATCATATACAATCATTTGTCATACAGGCTCAAAATAACGAAGCAGTGCACAACATCAATCAAATTATGCTGGAGAGAAACATTTCTGCGCCAGTGATCAGCGTACGAGATAAAAACGATCAATTTCTCCCGAACATCATCAATGTTGTTTGTGATGGAAATGTCAATTTTTCGGACGTTTTAAGACACGCTCTAGCCACACGATGTAATTCAACCGTGTACCATGTTACAGAAAAATCGAACACAATTTTGCAACAGAATAATTCACAAACATCAGGTACCTTGTTATCGTTTTTGCAATATTGCAATTTTCATCATATTTCAGGCTTTACAATCGACTTTGAGCACTTTGACCGCCTAAATTTCCATTTTCTGCAACAACTCCTCCTCCTGGGCCGATATTAAAGATTTTTGCGACCATTGTTAGGAGATAGTCTTTAGATGAGCCGGCTTTATTTAGATTAACACACGAGGGCCTGCAAAGCGAACCTTAGACACAGCGCCCCTTAGAGACAGGACCCTTTAGAGGCAGGGCCACTTAGCGGCCAGAAGGCGTTAGCTAATCGCAACCTACACACTGGAGTCAGCGCAAACCGCATATTAGCATCTATAAGGCTCTAGGAATACCTCACGCATTGCGGGTTCTGTAGGAATACTTCCCGCATTGCACACACTGTAGTGAACGCGCAATGCGTGAAGTATTCCTACAGTCTTGTAGGCGCTAATAAGCGTTTCCTGCCGACTGTGCTGTGTTTGGCGCGACTAGTTTAACTTGCAGAGTCACCGTTTTTCAAGTTGTTACTGCCATTGAGTTTTCGCACACTCTTTTATGTGTTAAATCGTAAATGGTTTTTAGGTTTTTTTCATGTTATTGAAGTCCAGCACCAGGAATTTTGATTTTTGGAAAAAAATATATTTTTTTAAAAAAACATCCTAATGACTACCCCGGTGGTTACCACAACACCATCACGGTATCTCTCGGTTTGCTTTAGCGACGAACGCTATGCAGCCAGCGCATTTTCAATTTGGTTGTGACGCGACTATATCCTATTTTTCCCTTATTGTTTCTATGTTAAAACAGCTCTCTCTGGTCATCTTTGATTCAATTTTTGTTTATTTCACAGTCACCAAAACTCACTCGGATAAGTTTACGGACTACCTGCCATGTTCATTAAATGAATTGAACAACATTGGAAAATTATTGAGTGCAAAAGACTATGAAAGTGAGAGTGGCGTTTACGGGAAATTTTTCCCTACGGCGTCCCTCGCCCCTCAAAAGCAACTGCATAGAGATGTCCGGCCAATTTTCATCATACCAGCCTTCTGCGAGACCCAGTTGCGGCCATTGATGGCCAAGCTCATGTATCGATGTTTCGTCGCTCACGTTTGCTTGAATGTGCCGTCTTTAAATCAATTAGCTTCACATCTGTTAAAGGTATGTCTGTAAAAAGCTGTATTAGTTGACTTAATATGACTTTTCGTCGCACTCAGAAAAAAGACACATTTCAACTCCAGTTAGCGTTTAACATTTTTAAAATATAGCCACTGAAAGATGGTTACTCAGCATTTCTCTGCAATATTCTTGGTTATTTAATTTTCGTCAAAGTTCGAAAAGGAAAAGTCAAATTCACGATCAACCTCTGCCTTCGAGCCTTGAATTCGATGCCCCTTTTCTCTTTCCAGATCCCGTATATATTTAATTTTATCCTTCTACAGCGAAAAAGTGTTTGATTAAATTCTAAATATTGACGGCGAAACTCGTCATCCCTCTGACGTAAGGGCATATCTCACTTTTCTTGTGAGCCTTGTTCTACATAAAAATCCATGCTTTCTGGGGCTCATTCAAAAATCGAGATTCGCCCTTATGCCAGAGAGGCGATGGACTCTGAGACCACGTATCTCGTTTGTGGTGGTCTAGAATCTCCATTCGCGTTTTATTTTTTCGAAAGAGAGCAAACCAAGAAAATTCTTCGGAATTTTCAGAAAATTTTCTCAGCGCAGAGATAAAAATCATGAAAATTTTAAAGAATTGACGTTAAGTAGTCAGGACAGGAAGTCATAAACTGGGAAAAAAATAACATTGGATCTAAAGTCCAGACTCTTGAAAACATTGACAAGAAAAAGGACTCTTGATTCAATGAGATTTAAGCTTAAATCAAAAGGAAATCCGCCCAAATTAAGAGGCTTGGTTCTTGATTTAAGCTTAAATCTGATTGAATCAAGAGTATTTTTTCTTATCGATGTTTTTAAGAGTCTGAACTCTAGATCCAATGTGTTTTTTTTCCAGTGTACTTCATTCTTTAAATGGAAAACGAAAGACTGTGCTAATACACTGCTCTTGTGCATGACTCCGTGCATTTCAGTCAATGATGCAAATCCAGAAGAGAGGCCCTTACACGATCGTCGCCGAGACTTGGAGTGGCGGTGTGGCAACAACGCTCTCCACGTTGATCTCAGATGCTGGTCATGAGGTATCTTTGTTCTTAATTCAAGGAGTTCCTCAAAAAATGACTTCTTTACTACCCTCACAAGATCTACTGGGTGGATGTCTGGTTCAACACTTATTCCAGGTCAGTATTGTAGCTTAACCGTAAAAATTTCACTCGCAACATTAACAATTAAATGCATCGAGAGGAAAAACTGGCCTTCAACCAATCGGAGAAAAAAGGAAGAGAGAAAAACTTAGTGGTATCAAAACCGAGATAAATGGAATGAGATACACGGCTGCTATTCACTGAGAATATAAGTAAGCGTCCAGCCCACCTTCAAACCAGGGGTTTCAAAGAGGCTCATCGATGGAACTGTTGACTGTTGCCTTTCAAAGATCGTTACCCCGACGATCTTTAAAAGTGACCGATCTGTTCGAGATACATCACAGATCAGATCTTGAAATGTTCAAGGAATTCCGTGCAGAAATGGCAGAGAAATAGAAGAATTGGTGCCAGTTTGAGAGCCCCAGTTTGTAAGCAGGCTGGACGCTTTAACGTTGAAAAATTGATGGCGCAATGGACTGTGTGAAACAGAGAGCAACCAAGTCCTATGATTTCATGAACATATGAAATCATACCTATGTATTTTATTCCGTTCACTGGGGGTGTGCGAGTGTGGGTCCCCTGTCCGCCACGCGGTCCAAATCTCTTCGCGGCACAGGTGGCATGCTATACACGTCACTCCTTTGGTTTTATACACGTTATTATCAGTGGCGTGGCGTGAATAATCGATTATCGATATCTTGCCATTTGAAGCTATGGTAAAGAATCGATTACTAAGGTGTTCGCTGCGAACACCCTGATAATCGATCTTTTTTCATAGGTTTAAATGGTATATCAATCGACATATCGCAATTCACGCCACGCCACTGCTTATTATGGAGTTTGATAAGTAAGAGCATTTTAATTCTACAGGAAATCAAGGCTAACGAGGAGCTAAAAAGTCTAGATAGCGCTTTGGAAATGCTGTCAAATAGTGTCCATAAATTGTACGCCCAGAGAGCGTTTCACGCCATTCTTCAAACCATGGTCCTTCTACAGAGTTTCAATTGCGCAACTTTGCACAGAGATACTTTAACTCTGATAGAATTAGGGTGCACGTGTGAGCTGAAAATGAGTGAACTCAAGAAAGTAAGTCAAACTCCTCTTCCATTAATTTCCCTAATTATCATAAAGTTCACAAATTTATAGTGAAGGAACGAATAAAGACACCAATTTTCAGAGAGAGATAGCATTATCCAAAAAACTACTTCAGTTAATTCTTATCATAAACAAAAGGTAGGCTAGCGTTTGAACTTTCCGTTTTCCGTTCAAGCATAATGAAATTTAAAAAAGAATCCAAACTTTCGGATACTATTGCAACACTATTTATCACCGTCAATAATGTATACGTGGCGTGATGAAACGTTTCTCTTTTTGAGAATTTTGGAAAAAAAAACGTCGCTACAGCAATTCCTGACAGGTCTACAATAAAGTTGTATTGAAGTTGCTAAAATATTGTCATAACTGTTAAACCCTTCTTGTTGGGCTGCTATAAGCCTCTCCTGCAGTGAGATGATTACTCCAGTGACAAGGACTATCCTTCAGTCTATATGGAACACTGAAGTTTTTGGTCCATGTGGCTGAAGTTTTTGGTCCTAGGAATAGAATTTAAGTTCAAATATCCGAAGTCCTCGATACAAAAAAGGGCCTAGTATGCCTAACGAAAACTTCAGTTGCCTGAGCTGTAATTTGGTAATTACGATTGAGAACTTCGGTTATCTGGACTGAAAGCTTCATTCCTCTACATTAACTAATTTGTCCATGTGGTCCGATGATATTTATCAAGTTGGCTAAGAGGGCGCATAATGTAGATGAATCGTTTATTAGATAGTACATCGATGTTCTCGTTTATTTTACAGATGAGTGAAAAAACTGTTCGGCTCGTCAAGTCTGACTCTAAGACATACAAAGATATGCTGAAAGACCCTCTAATATCAAATACAATAAACGATGAGGCACTCTTCTCTTGGCACACTTACTAGATCATCAATGATGAAAGTACTTAGATGAATTATTAACCGATGCGTTTTCTACAGTGTGCGAGTACTAGATTTTGATTTTTTAATTGAATTATTAGATGACGATGGTGAAACTACCAGACCACGTATCTCGGTTTGCGACGTTGCAAGCTTTCGATCTCATGTTACTTTTTAATTAGAAAACTACTCAACGTCAATTTTTTGAAAACCTCCGTGATTTTTCTTCTCTATGCGAAGAAAACTCCGAGGAAACTTCAAGGAATGATATTGGTTTGTTTTACTTAAGAAAATGAAATGAAAGCGGGGTTTTTTAACCACCACCAACGATGTACGTAATCAGGTAGTTTCACCGTCGATAAGCCAATTTATCATTTAGCCGACAGAAAAGTGGACCTCAGTCCTTACTAACTAAAAAACACACAAGAAAATGGGCAACCAACGTTACAAAAGGAAGAAAAAAACCAGAAAGCATGCAATGGGAGTTTTGGGGTGGTTTCAACCACTTCCTCAACCAGGAAATAAGAAATATTTAAAATTGTAAGAATCAAGAAACTCTTTTTACCCCCCATTTGTCTTTCTATTTCTGTTCGTTTGCTTTTATTGCCTTGGTTGCCCATTGTCTTGTGTCTCTTTTAATTGAATTATTTTTGCCATTTTTGTGTATTATTTTTGTCCTTAATAAAATAAAACCTAACTAAATATTTAAATGTATTTTTATTACTATTCCAGAGATTAATTTCTTCTCCTCTAATTTCCTCTCATTTCTTTCTTGAAAATGGCTCAGTTGCACTGGTCACAAAATCGTGTATAATTGCTTGATTCTTATAGATTAGCTAAAAATAAGAAGATACGGGGGGGGGGGGGTGGATATCCCAGAGGTGATGGAAGCGTACAAGCTCGAGGTGCTTCAGCACAAAATCATCCCTCTTTTCGTCGGTAAAAATGAATTCCCAGTGCCAGAACTTGGAGATGAGCAGGTCGTCTTCTTGAGGGTGCGTTAGATGAAGGACAACAACGAGAAAGAACAGAATGGATTTCACTGCGAGGAAAAAATAATGAATCGATTATTTAAAATATCGAATAGACAATAATATCGAATAGAATATAATCGAAAGACAAAGCTATAGTCAAAGGAGACAAAAGGAAAATAGAGCTATCCTATTGGTTGAAAAGAGCCGTCGTAAGAGACTAGTTAGAATAATGATAGATTAACTATAGGGTCTCCCGTGAGTTGCCGTTAATTAGTCGATTAGTAGTCGATTTACAAGGGGAGTCTACGAAGTGACATCCTGGGATTGGGTTCATTTTGCTTGTACATGAGGAAGAGACAAATCTAAGGTTGACGTATTTTTTTTTAGCCGCCACCTCCCAACCGTTCTCGAGATATCGATTTTTAAAGTTACGATTTTTGCACGTTTCTGCGCGGAGTTCCGGCGAGTCAACTGAGCGCCGGCAAGCTGCACGAAGCGCGTTTCTTATCAGCGCTGCTGACCGGCTAAGCTTATCAATTGTTCCGTGGCCGAGTGGTAGAGTGTTCGCCTACTGTTCCATCGATCGCGGGTTCGAGTCCGGCTTCGTACCGTAGCTTTTGGGATCCGCCGCAATGCGTTTTTACAAGTTTTCTTTATTTTTATCACTCACCAAGGGGTCCGCCCCCTGGCCGCTACGCGGCCCAACCCCCGGGGCGAAAAGGCCCGCTTCGGGGCAAGCGAAATCATCGAAATCGACCGTTGCCGGTTGCAAATTCAGAGTAAGGATAAAGTCATTAAGAATATTGTGTGGTGGGAAATTTTTATTTGAAACATCATTTTATCATTCAATTCAAATTATTTACCCAGTAACCGTCAACGGTTGATTTCGATGATTTCGCTTGCCGCAGAGCGAGCCTTGCGGCCTTGCGAAGCGGACCGCGTAGCGGCCAAGGGGGCGGACCCCTTGGTGTGTGATAAAAATGAAGAAAACTTGTAAAAACGCATTGCGGCGGATCCCAAAAGCTACGATACGAAGCGGGACTCGAACCCGCGATCGATGGAACGGTAGGCGAACACTCTACCATTCGGCCACGGAACAGTTGATTAGTTTAGACTTAGACGGTCTGCAGCGCTGATAAGAAACGCGCTTCGTGCAGCTTGCCGGCGCGCTCAGTTGACTCGCCGAAACTCCGCGCGGAAACGTGCAAAAATCGTAACTTTAAAAATCGATATCTCGAGAACGGTTGGGAGGTGGCGGCTAATAGAAAATACGTCAACCTTACATTTGTCTCTTCCTCATGTACAAGCAAAATGAACCCAATCCCAGGATGTCACTTCGTAGACTCCCCTTGTTAGTAGTTCGTTAATTAGTAGACCGTTGTCCATTGCAATCACATACTTTCACTAAAGGGTCAGTTGAACTGGTCACAGAATCGTGTTTTGATGCTTGGTTCTTGTAGATCAGCTAAAAGTAATCAGTTCGGTACAAACAGCGACACTCTATGTTCAAAATTAACCGAGATATCGCGCCTTGAAAAAGTTGATTTATATAACATCGTCCACCACGGTGCCGACACCCTTGGATTCTTCCATCCTGCTTTCATCAATCAGGAAAATGCACTTTTGCATTGGTTACTCAACGTAAAACTCGGATGAAAGCAAGGTGGAAGAAACTCAACTAGAAACACGGATGAAAGAAATCAACGGTGTCACTAACGCGGTGGATGACGTCATAAACCGAATTTTTCAAAGCGCGATATCTCGATTAAAATTGAATGAAGAAAGTTGCTGACAAAATGTATATTATTTATAGCTAATCTACAAGAAGCAAGCACCAGAACTCAATTCTGTGACCGGCGCAACTTACCCAGTGAGTCACTCCTTTTTCCCCTTGCCTTTTTTGTCTATCGCTTTGTCTATGAGTTTCAATAATCAGCCCGCATGAGGGGAAAAACCAAAAAAATTATTACGATGGAAACGTACCGATTCAGAGGCAATTTATTCTGCCGTTTTATCAAGGTGAATAGTGAGTCAGTTTAAAAATGAAGTTTTAAGAAAATTCACTGGGTAGCGTCTGAAATGGAGAATATTATCATTCGAATCCTGTGTTCTTTGAAAAATTGTTAATAGCCATCCAAAAGACTCTTGGAAGTATTTTTTCGGCAGTTTTTACTGCGCGGGAAATGCAGGAGTGAGAAAACTCAACGCGATTATATGTACCATTAAGGATGTAAGCACTGATTTAGAGGCTGTTTATTCCTCCGTAATGACAAAAAACGCAATATTTGTTGTATAAACGAAGAATTGAAGGCGATTTGTCATTTTCCGTCCCCGCAGTCAGTACAGCCCGCTGCGCGCCGCTGCGTATGAAGCGCTGAGTGCCCGGAGAGTCAAAACGCCTTCATCTCCGTGCGTATGCAACACGGCCATCCGTGGAGCTCGATAAATTGCATCAAGGCGTTTTAATGAAATTCGTCTCGTGTTCGTGGCGCAGGATACTAACTGGACCGCTTCGCGTGTTTCTCTTGCACCTTCCAGCTTTGCCCATTGTGCCAATGCAGTAAATGGTTGTTGATTTTTATCGCGACAGTGTTGAATATCCGATTAATGCTTAATTGTTTAAAAACAAATGAAGAAAAAAAACGAATGCACAATCGAAACGATTGTTTAAAAAAGAATTTAAAACGATGTTGCCAGTCATCGAAATCACAAAGACAATAACATACTTTAAGTCTGTAGAGTTTACTTTGGCTTACTTCAAGAAGTCGTCCTTTTTTTGGATTCTTTCACTTATTTTTTGGAGAAAGACTTTTGAAATTAAAGTGGAAAATATACAAAGATCTATCTGATGATCGGAATTTGGAACAAAAACAATTGCCATTTTAATTGAAGAAAGAAAATGTGATAGGAGACCAGTAACATCTATAGCCAAAATACATTATGTGATTCTATAATTTCACTGGCATAACTGAAGCAACATAAAGGCTAATAAATTATTGTAAAAATATGTAATGGCCTGTCTTTTCCCTCATGATATATGTGAAATACCTCTACACTTACTGACACAAGAATGACGAGTGCAATATAAGAGTTTTCTGACACTACAGGATAGATTTCGTGGGAGAACATCTCAACATTTGTTTATTCTTCACGGAAGAATTATGAAGAGAGTATAAAGTGAGCGAATAGGTATGTAAGGAAACTATATACTTACTTGTTTGCTGGAGCTTCTTAACTTTCATTCGAAATTGATGATCATTCAACTTATCAAACCGATTATAATGCACACGATACTTTGAGCAAGTCACACAACAGTGAAACACATTCACGGTGAACACACATCAGTTTACATCAGTAAAAGCTCTTCCGAGACTTTGCAGAAGCGATGGACGCTTAACGCAAAAAATTGATGTTTTTAGCCGGTGTACATTGTACAATGCGCAATTGCGCACTCGGCATGAAAGGTTGAACATTTTTTTGGTTGACCTGTCACGGAAAATCTCTCTGAGTGAATGAACTCAATGATGTGACTGTTAGAGCGTTTCACACGCATGAATATAGTACAAAACTCGTTGTAAAAAAAAATGTACTATTCTTATGTTGAATGCTGTGCTATGAAAAATGCACAAAGATCGAAATGATGCCGCATTTTTCTCGATAAAATACGGTTTTCTTGGGAAGTAGCAGGAAAATAAAATTTAAAAATAACGGAGTTTTAGAAAAAACGATATGTATAAATTTATTAATATATTATATAATATATATAATATTTATTAGTAAAAAATAATGCATTTCAAAGCGATGCCTTGTCATTGGAACTAACAATAAGTCAAAATATGTGAACAAAACTCAGACCAAAATCAATAGACCTAACACTAGCCCTGAGGAATATTAAACAATTAAAAACGTATATACAAGCACGTGTTTTTGTCAGAAGTAAAGTAGGATTGAATACATTTACGTAAATGTGTAAAATTTTGTAATATAGCCTGTGATAATGCCGAGGACTGAGGAACAATATCACCTAATTGCCGATTTTGGCGAAAATGAGTTAGTGACTCTGCTGCATCTTTAGTATTAAATACGCAAGCTGACGCTCAAGTTTTTTGGGCGCTTCTGGGTACCAGATGCGCCCTTTCCAGCCGTTCGACTCCCCCGATGTAACATGTACTATACTACATACCGTTTTGCCTTATGGGTAATTACGCCATTCTGGTACACCCGGGAAAATTTGATTTTCTTCTGCATCTGGTATTCGTAAAAGTTTTCGTGAAATGTTTTGCTTTTAAGCATAACAATCTCGCACGGACGTATTACCTGGTTAAACTATTTTGGGGCTTCGTTATGCTTAAATGCCTCATATTCGAGGTTTTAGTTTCAGATTGATTCGAAAAAATCACGAACAGTCACGTGATCTCTTCATTTTAGTGACGTATTACTGTGCTATTTTGTGATTGGTTCATTTTCTCGGCGCAGCATCGT